CCTTACCTAAATACTAACTATAGGATTATAAGATACACTTACAGCCTAGCTGCCTAGGAAAGAGCCTCTATAGGGACCCTTATACGCAATGTTTAAGAAAGAGCTCAAAACCCTAGATAAGTAGCTAAAAGAGAAATTAGAAAAAGGCTAGATACGGAAGTCGATATCCTCGGTAGCCTTACTAGTAATGTTCGTTCCGAAAGCCGGATTAGACGAAGGACGGCTAGTAGTCGATTTTAGACGACTTAACGACATTATAATTAAGAATCGGTACCTACTACCGAACATCGAAGAAATACAAGACCGATTAACTAGATTAGACTAGTATACGAAGATTAACCTACGCGATACGTTTTACGCAATACGTATAGTAGCTAGATACGAATAGATAACAGCATTCCGAATAAGATATAGGCTTTACGAATTCTTAGTTATGCCTATAGGACTTACAAATGCCCTAGCGTTATATTAAGACCTTATAAACGAAGTCCTCTGAGACCTTCTAGACGTATACGTTATCGCATATATAGACGATATCTTAGTCTATACTAAGGGAGCTCTCGCGGACTATATACGAATAGTATAGGACGTCTTTAAACGATTTACTCGAGTAGGATTTAAGACTGCACCTAAGAAATGCGAATTCTATAAGAAGGAAGTCAAATTCCTAGGATTTATTATTAGCACTATAGGAATTAGGATCGATCTAGAAAAAACTAAGTTAATATAGGAATAGCTAACGCCTATATGCGTTAAAGACGTACAATTATTCCTAGGATTAGCTAACTATAACAGAAAATTCATCGAGGGCTACTCTAAGATAGCGGCACCCCTTACGGAGCTTATAAAGAAAGACAAGAAATAGAACTAAAGCACGAAGGAAGACGAAGCGTTTAGGTAGCTAAAGAAGCAATGCGTTTCTACGCTAACGCTACGATTATTCGATAGGAATAAGGCGGTCTAGATAGAAACAGACGCGTCGGATAGGGCTATAGGAGTATGCCTTATATAGGAGCATAACGGGAAACGATACCCGGTAGCCTATTACTCGAGAAAGATGTTACCCGCGGAATAGAACTACGACATCTATAATAAGGAGCTACTTGCAATAGTTGCATTACTATAACACTAGCGAGTATACGCGGAAGGAGCACTAAGTCTTACGATTCTTTCTAATTATAAGAATCTAACTTACTTTACTACGACTAAAGTACTAACCCGAAGATAGGCCCGCTAGTCGGAGCTACTAGGACAGTATAAGTTCGAAATCCGCTATACCTTAGGACGCGAGAACAGACGAGCCGACGCACTAAGCCGCCGTAGCGACTATATAGAGGGTTACGAACTAGTATAGTAGCAGATATTAAAAGCAAACTAAGACGGAAGCCTTAGTACTAATACAAAAGAATTTAACTATATTATACGAGTTCTTTAGGATATAGAAGAACAGTTTCTAATCGAATATAGGAAATACTAAGTACCTAAGGAACGAGTTACGGAGTGTATACGACAATACTACGACGGACTAGAAAATAGACACCCTAGAGTTTCAAAAACAATAGAACTAGTTAAGCGAAGCTTCGGATTCCTATACATACGATAACGAGTTCTAGAATATATTAAGAAATGTCTACAATGTTAGCGTAACAAGGCTAATAGACACGCTAGATATAGACATATCCAATTTAGGACGCTACTAGATAAACTATAGGACGAAGTTACAATAGACTTTATTACGAAACTACCGAAGTCTAAGGATCCGGTTATAGGATATAGCTACGATATAATACTTGTTATAGTCGATAGGCTTACGAAATATACATACTTTATTCCTACTAACGAAGCAAGTACGGTAGAGCAACTCGGATACCTCGTACTAGATAGACTTATACGATACTACGGATTTCTAAAGACCTATATTACGGATAGAGACAAGCTCTTTATATTAAACTACTAGAAGACGCTTACAGCGACACTTAGAATTAAGTACAAGCTATTAACGGTATACTATCTATAGATAGACGGCTAAACGGAAGTTAAGAATTAGGCCTTAGAGGTATACTTACGGCACTACGTTAATTACGTACAAAACAATTAGGCATCGCTATTGCCTATAGCACAACTTGCACTAAACAACTAACAATCTAAGACTACGGAAGAGACACTATTCTTCGCTAATTTTAGGAAACATCCGTAGCTGTTCGGGGAACAGTATTTATAATATCTATACGCGGATAAAGCGATAGTCGCTTTAGAAGACTTAAAGCAGGTATATAAAGAATTGCAAAGGGCAATTGCCGAGTCTTAAGAAAAGATTACGGGACTATACAATGCTAAACGAAAAATAGCACCTTAGCTAAAAAAGGGGGATAAGGTCTACCTCTTAACAAAGAATCTAAAAACCCGGAGATCGACTAAGAAACTAGACTACGTTAAAGTCGGGCTATTTTTGATTAATAAGCCTAAAGGACTAGTTAATTACCGACTCAAACTACCGGACGACGCGAAAATCTACTTAGTATTCTATATCTCTATACTAGAACCTACAGACGCCGAAACACCGTACTAAGAAACATTTCACTTCTAACCTAAGGAAGAAAATAAGTTTAAAGTCGAGGAAATCCTAGATTAGCAAGGTTAGAAATACCTTATTAAATAGAAAGGATACCTACATTTAGAAAACACCTAGGAACTAAAAGAAAACCTGCAGAACTGTTAGCAGATAATCAAAAAATATTAAAACCGGACAAAAAAGAAATAACTAGTATAGGAATTAAACCTACGACCTCTTAGACCCTATCGATTATAGCGCCTTAGAGTTCTTAACGACTTAGGGCAGTATAGCTCGAGGAGCGGGGACTCTAATAGCGTACCTAGCAACTATATCTTTTATAGCTAAGAATTATACTACTAGACTAACTAGCTAGAAGATAAAATAAATAGGAAACATTAAAAATATATACCTTTAGAATACTAGACTCTCGGTACTCCTACTAGGGATTTCAGAGACAGGCTAGGATGTCCTATCTAGACGACTCTAGTTATAAGGCGACATCTATAATCGGCTATCTAGGGGAAACGGCTCGTTAGTAGGTAACGAGAATATTATCGGCTCTATAAGCGAAGAGCCTAGCTCTCTTTCGAGCTCCTCCGCCTATTAAATAGAGGCTTCCTCTACCTTAAGAGCTTGTATCTCCCGATCCTCCTTTATATATAGCGACTTACGTAAGCGACGGACCTTTACGCGATACTCGAAAAGCTTCCGCGTAAGGAGGTCCTCCTCCTCTTCGGCCGCTTCGAGATCTTTAGCTATCTTTAGGCGCGCCTTCCGGATTTTTTTATACTCTATACGAGTAACTTGTATATTATAGGACTAGCCGTATAGGGCGCACTCGGAGTAGCGACCGGAACGAAGATCGACTTTATAGGGTTTACCGGCCTGTTTGTAATAAAAGTAGCGGATCGGCATTTCGAGGCAATTAGCGAGGATATTATTTGCGATATTTTCCTTACGCTAGCAAGAAGACAAATCCTTAGATAACTTTAGTATAACAAAGAAGTTAGAATTAGAAAGTCCCGGAATAAGGGACTATTCCGCTTAAGGAAGGGGATAGTATTACGGATCTAATTAGTTAGAGTCCTTATATAATCTTAGAGCGACGCTAAGACTAGTAGGCTAAGCTATCGCTCTATCTTACTAGGAGCGATAGGAGCGGTCGAGAGCGATAGCGTCGCTTACGTCGCTTACGACTATAGATAAGATATCTCCTTTGTATTTAGGAACGCCGGAATGCCCTTATAGCTCGAGGCGTTTAACTTATATTACCTACTTACTAATTGGAATTACCTTTATACTAATTATTCTGTCTCTGCCTTCCGCTTATATTAGCCTCTCTAAAGAAGCCTCGGCTTGCACGTAATAAGAAGTTACTTAACGATCTGTCGCGAGTAACCGTAATACTATACTATTGCCGAGCTACTTCTATAAGTACTAGTTAATTAACTTCCGTAGAACGTACAATCTACGAGAACTAGAAGTAATCTATAGCAACCGTAAACCTCTTACTAGCGGAGCGATATTATATACTATAAAGCGTATAGTAACGGCTCGACTCTTAAGAATTAGACGACTTAAATAAGGTTATAGTAACTAAGAAGCGGAAGACTCTAACGGCTAGAACAGTCGACTTTGCCTTAGAACTAGGTATATCTCTTATATAACTTCGTACTACGGTTGCTAACTACTATAAGTACGTAAAGAGCTAATACCGTATTTAATAATACCCTTACTAGAAGGCTAATCGACTATATAGCTCCGCTTGCTATCTAGCTAGCTTTAAGTGTTATAATCTACGAGTTAAGCCTTTATTATTACTTCTAGTCGCTCCGGAGCTACCTTCTAAGCTAGATCTACTTCGCCGAGAGATTAAAGACCTACGAGTACGTAAGAACTAACGTTTATAGGCGGAAGAAGAGCGAGCGAGGTAATAAGCTAATAGTAGCCGCTAGCAGGCGGCATTATATAAGCAATAATAACGATAGGCTGCTTAGCAACAATACTAGTACTAATAATAATAGTCGCTTATATAGCTAATAGGGCGGCTACTTTATTACTAGGTACTGCAGTAATAGTACTATTAGTTTACTTAGTAGTAGTATTATATATAGCAGTAGGCTAGTTAGTAACTAAGAGACTAATATAAGCTAGTATATATAGCTTCGCGTAGTTATAAGGCGGCAGGTCGCAATCCGCTTAGACCTAAGTAGATAGCTAACAACTAATAATACCTTGAATTTTGCTATACTACTAATTTGCTAACAAACTTTAGCTTTATAGCTGCTAGCAGCAGTATAGTAGTAGTTGCCCGGGCGGAGGGGCTGCAGCGACGCGATTATCCGCTTCTATACGCGATTTTGTATGGAACAGCCGATCTCGTAATCTCGGGTTATGCTGGGGCTCGGGCGGGTAGCTGGGGCTCGGTTTAGTCTCGAGGTGTGTCATGATATCCATCCGGCTTGCACTTGAGCTAGCAGTTTTTACGTTTCTGACTCGTGTTAAGTCTCCTACTGGAATGGCATGAGATATTTGCTCGAAGCACCATTTCGACAAACGTCTCGTGCAGCCGAGCTCGTCGTCCCGCTCACTGATTTAGTGCAGCTACTTGCGCTAGTCAGGCATAGCGTGCCGTATAGCGGGCCGAGATGTCGAGACGCCAGTGTAGCGGAGCAAACCTACAGAGTCGAGGGAGCACCATTGCCTACGAATGTTAGCAATCAGACGACCACACAGGACAAATGGGACCAAGGAGTATACCATAGGAACAACCCGCAAGCGAGCAGTTGGACAGACTCTACCTGAGACGAGCATGGACTGATGCTTAGCGAGCTGTTCAGTGTCAATCCGAGTGGCCTCAAGGTCAGCATCGAGGACTGCCAGCGGTGAAGGCAACCCGGCAAAAGCAACGTTTCGCGATTGCTCGAGCATGAGATCAGGAAACGATCGCATTGATCCTGTGACTGCGGTGTGAAGGCTTCCATGAGGCAGATCCCGGATTCATCGTGGCAGACTTCTGCCCAAAGCTTTGGACAGAACTGGACCTAGAGACGAGGTGCGACGAAAAGCTCAGTGCATCAAGATCTCGATCTCTTCGCTTCCAGATTTGTGGCCAGAGTGCCTGTTAACATCATTCAGATGAATGCATATGCCAGGCCAATGATTTGAATCACGAGGTGCATTTCGCTGCCCTCAGAGATGTCGTGCGACATGCCCGACGACGTGCATGCTGATGAGAGCTCAAATGCGTGTGGCCGCCTGTCAATGATATAGGTAGCCGAGCCTAATTGGTCCACCGTAATCTTCACGCGAGGTTTGTAGCACTTCAGAGGCTCACAGCATCCTCGATCGTAGATACAGCAAATCGCTCTTGAGATGATGAGGGCGGACCAAGTATGCAATGCCCAGGCGCCGCGCCGCATGCAGACATCTCGGTCTTATAGCTGCAACTGAAGCTGTACGAGGCAAACGCAGTTTCTGGCCGAGGCAAACTTGGGCGCGTGGCCCGCGAGCGTTGCCTTCAAGATACTCTTCTGTATTGGCGGACATGGTGAATGTCGCAGCGGTCCGGATGTCGGCCAGCCCATTCTTGGCTTCTCAAATGCATGCAATGAAGAAGGCATCCTGGCGGGATTTCAATTTTCGACCTCTTTCGAGCCGGGTCACGCGGTCAGCCAGCTGACAAGCAGGATTTCAGGAAGAGTCACATCACATCATCATCAGGTTCCGGGACGTTGAGCGGTCTGCGACGAGAGCGACAGCAGTCGTCTCGCCTCGTCCTTGCAGTCCTGTACGCGAAACACGAACGTTGAAACCTGTCATCATGGCCGTGCCGGGCTGCAGCGCACAAGCAGCCCTGGAGAGGTTTCGCGATGTTTTCCGTGCGCGTGCGCTTCGCGACAAGGGTCGTGCTTTCGAAGAAGATTCTGTGCATATCTTGTCTGGAGATCATCAGCCTCACGACGTCCCTTGTTTGGTTACCACGCTGACCCTTGAATCGGTTCGAGTGGTACCTGCTCGGATGTCGTCGCGTCCTGCATGTACAGATATACACCAGCTCGAATTCTGATTCGTACCAGCGCATCGGATGCAGACGACTGCGCGAGCTCGCAGGCCTCGCAGCTCGCTTTATGGCGTGCAGGCCCTAGCGAAGCAATCTCTCGCAAGCGTGCAGTGCCGTATTGCGAATCATCCTGAAGGCGTGGTGGTGGTGCGTTGCTAGTGGTCTGGTGGTGTACGCATTGGCCTCGCGCATCGTTTAGATTGAAGTGCGCCGAGGAAAGCACAAGAACACATGGTGCTGTGTCGTGTTTTGGCGGGCAATGCTGTCCAATCACCCGATGCTCCCACCTCTCGGTGAATGACATGCCATGATGCTCCATTGCTTGGAGGCTGATGAAAACGTATAGGGCTAGGGCAGCAACCTAATCACACCGCCAACCACGCAAAGACGCGTGACTTCTCGAGTGAGCATGGGCAGAGAGTCGCTGTTTGGTCATGGACCCAATGGACCAGCGAGCAGAGCAAGGCCCTGAGACAGCAGCGACCGTATCGCCCAACTCCGGTGTGACCACGTCACGTATCATACTGTTATCTCTGCAAAGCTGGCTTTACGAATTGTTTTGGCAGATTAAGTTCTCGTTGATAGGATCCTCATACATCAGTGTGTTACAGGGCGTGTACACCATCCACAGCTTGGTGGACTCCACCCCTACTCGCACCCACGGTGGAGGCACAACACTAATTTCTGCATCGAAACCCTTGCTCCGCGGGCATATGGTACGGTTTTAGGGTATGGAGATGACCACTACCGTATCCCTGCAGAAGCATACTACTGGAAGCCGATCGTTCTATTTCATTCCGCATTGTGCTGCGTCGTGCCAAGAAAGCGAAGGATGTTTGGCCGGGTAACGAGAAGCTGCTGATCTGGGCAATACCGGGTATCGCAAGCTGACGGGGAAGAATTATTAATGAGAGTGCGCTGGGTGGTTGTTGAGAAGAAGCGTGAGGTCACAGTCTGGTGTTGATAAGACTCTCCCACGGCTTCGGCACGGCACCGGGGGGAGGGTTGGGCTGTTCCAGAACGCAGTTCCTTGCGAAAAAGCATGATGACCGCACTATTGAATTTACAGCAGCAGCTTCTCACGTGGGAGATTGAGGGTGTATGTGCGCAACAGCACTCCCCTGTTCACAGGAATTGCATGAGGATGGAATGGTGCACAGCGGCGTAATATAGCGTCGCAAGCATTGGGCATGACGGTGTCGCGCAAATCATGAAAGACGGCAAGCAGAATGCGAGATGGCGGCCGGCCGGCATGAATGCCCAGTGCGCACCAAGCAAAGGATCACGACTGGACTGAGGAGGTGGTCTCGCCAAGCCAAGGGACACTCGAGGTACCACTGCTACCGCTACCGCTCCGTATCCTTTGCTGATGACGGTCTCTGAGCTCTGCTGGTAGTGGCGCCGTCTGGCCGGAACACTGCGGCGTTGGGCTGTCAAGGCGAACCATCATCACCACCGAGCTGCAGCTGCAGGCAGTCCAGCATGCATGAGAGCCTCGTGACAGGAGGGAATGGGCGCGGGCGCGGGCGCGGGCGCGGGCGCGTTGCTTGGAGGACAGGGTGCCAGCGCATCGTCTGAGAGATTGTGGCCGCAATAGCAGCACCCGCGGTAGTTGAGAGGGCGACTGGGAGCGAAACAGTCAGCCGAAACGGTGTGAGCGCCGTCGTTCGGCAGGTGGGAAAGGCGATGACGTCCTGAGACTCTCCACTCTGTGTATTAGTGGGGCGGGCTCCGTCCATGGAAAGAGCGTCTTACGATGGAGCGGGCGCTAGCGGGCAGTACCTGAGAAATCGTCTAGCGCGGCGCGGACCTCCCTGCTCGGGTTTTGAGCAGACGCAGCCAGGCGAGCGGCAAGCATCAAACAGGAAGCGTCGGGAATGTAGAGTCATCTGTTGTTGTTGTCTGCAGCAGGGCGCGGCGCGGCGCGGCGCACTGCCAGCAGGATTCACGTTGACGTCCACGCTCTGCACCGCACGGCTCGCTCGCAGGAGCACACCGCAGCCCCGTACAGCAGCAGCAGCAGCAGCAGCAGCAGCAGCCGGTCTTCGTCGCGACTCGCGAGCGCAGGGTTCTCAATTTAGGTTAGAATATTGGATTTGCTCTGACGGGCGATCGACACTCCCTCTCCTTGGACGCCCGTGTCTCCCTGTCCACTGTCCGCTGCCTGCTGGGAACCTTTTCTGAGCCCACAAGGCACTTCTATTTCATCCACACGACACCAACCACGGTCGCCAGTCACTCCTTCCTTTCCATCCCCATCCTCGCCCCGTCCGCCCTCGCCCTCGCCCTCGCCCTACGCCGCTGCACGACGCGACACAAGCTGAATTCAACGCCAGCTGCAATTACCCTCACACACTGGCACGTCGCAGCAGCCGCTCGAACTACATTCCTTCCTCGACATCATCAAGCTAAAGCACCCCACCGCGCACTTTCAGCCTTGCTGCCGCACGCTGTTCCTGTTCCAAATTGCCCTGCATTGCACACGTCTGCACATCTGGAGTTCCGGCGCGGCGCAGTGCAGTGCAGCGCAGTGCAGCGACCTGCGGACCGCCCAGGACAGCTTGGCATTTGCCGAGTTTCTGTCCACCTGCCTGGCGCAGGAGTGATAGGCAAAGATAGCGACAACCCCAGCGCGCTGCTGCAGCTGTCCAGCTCCTACCCGTGGCACCTTCGGCCACCCTCTCCAAAGGCAGGCGCATCAAACGCGAGGCAGGCTCCTCTTCCGCGCTGCGCGCAACATACAGGCACACCCACGCCCACGCCCTCCAGCACTGAGGTGGACATCGCATCCGATCAGCATTGAATCGCAAAAGGCCCGAGAGCACGTGGAGCGTGGAGATCGAGTGAAACCATCAAACGGCAATACAGCATTTCACAGTCAGGGCGAACTATACTGCCAACCCCGACTGCGGCACCCAAGTTTCGACTTTCGTCCAAACCGGCTACAGCGTCCCGGCTCGGCCAGCTCTTGCTCCTTAGACCACCGAGTCCTCACCGGCCGACTCTCCTTGTGCTACATTCCCAATAGGCGTCGTTATTTGTTCGAGGTCACCATGCGCAGGCGCAGTCGAATCGATTAGCTCTCCCTACCTCCTTTGTCTGCATGATACTACCATGAACCTGCCCTCGGAACAAGACGCCCCCAATGCCTTCGAGGCATCTGGTGCATCTGCGGCTGGATCCACTCCCAAAACGCAAGTCGCTTCTAAATGCCCTTCTTCATCTATCAATAACGTTGTAGTTACAACCATGGCTGCTACACGCAATGCCATGAGTGCTTCCCTCAAAACTCGCAGCTCGTCCAACCAGCTCTATGACATAAGAACGCAACATTCTGTCTCTCAGGACTCTTTGCCAGAATCAAATATGTCGCCCAAGAGCTACACCTCGCCGTCTTTGATGGCCCGCCGAGGCTGGTCCGAAAGGACTTTCTCGGAACGATCTCCCTCCCCGCATACGCGAGCTGGTCCACCTGGTGCAATGACAGAAGCTATGTCCGTCGGCAGAACTCCTGGCGGACCTGGTATAATACGTCGCATCTCGCGTGGCGCACACAACAAACTCCGTCGCCGTGCGTCAACGAACCATTCGTTACGCATGCGCGAACAAAGTGCTGGACCAGTCTTGATGCGAAGACGAAGCGACAGCAATGGCGCTTCTGAGTTCCAGGATGTTTCCGACCTGGACCTGGACAGCACCACCGATGAAGTGCTAGACGAAGTTCCGTTTCCTAATTACATTGGTCGTAGCAATGCTCTGGGCATCAGCGTTGGCAGACCCATCATTTTCTTGCACAACAGCACAAACAATTTCGAAGGCGGCATTGCACCGGCTGTCTCGAAAATCTTGCAGAATGGCACTCTGGTCACGAAGCATACCAAGCGCAAAAAGAAAACCATTAAACTTTGGCTGGATATCGGCACGGCCAGGGTTTGCTGGCACACTTCAAATCCTAGCAAGTCGTTCTCAGTCGACGATGTGAGAGAAGTCCGCCTTGGCGCAGATTCTCGAAATGCTCGTGATGATGTATCGATAGCAGACGACCAGGAAGGCTTGTGGGTGACCATCGTATATGATGTACCAGAGAAATCCAAAGGCCGGAACATCAAGACTATGCACATCACCATGCCTGATGACTATGTCTTCAAGATTTGGACCGAAGCTCTTAGCAAGGTCACCAGGCAGCGTTGGGAGATGATGAATGCACTCGCATCCTCGCCCGAGAAGAACGAGAAAAGCATGGCGATGGCCTGGCGGGAGGTCATGTCCAACAAAGATCCGACTGCTAAAGAGCGCTTCACCCTTGACGACGCCCGCTGGCTTTGCCGAAAACTCGAAATCAATTGTACCGACTCCGCAGTCAAGACGCACTTCAAGGCAGTCACCAAAGATGATTCGCTCGACTTCGAAGAATACAAGCAGTTCGTCCAGACCTTTCGAGAACGAAAGGACATCCAGAATATCTACAGGAACCAATCCTTCGGCACGGACATTGACATGAGCTTGGAATCTTTCCTCGAATTCCTGAAGAACGTACAGAAAATCGATGTCGACAAAGAACGTGGGCATTGGGAAGGCGTCTTCAACAAGTACTCGGTGCCCGTGCAAAACCGTCCTACCCTGCCAGACGCTGAGAAGGTCGTTGGCCAACGGGTTCTGAATATGCAAAGCTTCCAGAACTTCATGACTTCATCTCACTGTGGGCCGACCAGCTCAAGCAAAGCCGAAGTCACGCTGGATCGACCTCTGAGCGAATACTTCATATCGAGCTCGCACAACACGTATCTGCTCGGGCGACAATTTGCTGGCGCGTCAAGTGTGGAAGGTTACATCGCGACCTTGGTCAAGGGCTGTCGCTGCGTCGAAATTGACTGCTGGGATGGCGACAACGGACGACCAATGGTCACTCATGGACGCTCGATGACAAGCAGGATCCCGTTCGAAGACTGCGTCTCTGTCGTTGCAAAGTATGCTTTCAACAGCTCGCCTTACCCATTGATCGTCTCCCTGGAAGTGCACTGCAATCCAGAACAACAGCAAGAGATGGTCAGGTTGATGAAGAAATACTTTGGCGCGGCAATGGTGACCGAACCAATTATTCCCAACTGCAACAGTCTGCCATCGCCTGAGGAGCTACGCGAAAGGATCTTGATCAAAGTCAAGGCTTCCGAAGAGGTCGACCAAAGTCAGGTGGTCGATGGTGCAACAGGTCGAAGCAGAGCACGAAGCATCACCTCAACCTTTGCTCGCACACCCTCCATTGAGACTTCAAGCGCCATGTCCTCTCCTCTTGTGTCGAGCTCGGCAACAAGTCCTTCTGAGATGAGCACGACGTTCACACCAAAGGGCTTGGCCGTCTCAGTCCCAATGTTGACACCTAACAGTTCCACGGATGACAGCGATGAGATTCCGCAATCTGCAGAAAGGCTCAGGAAGCGACCGAAGACCAGCCGTATCATTCACGAGCTCGGCAAACTTGGTGTGTACACGCAAGGCATCAAGTTCAACGGCTTCCAAGCTCCAAATGCCAAGACGTACAACCATATCCTGTCATTTAGCGAAGGAGTCTTCGACCGATTGAGCAAGAACCACGAAACCAAAGTGGAGCTGGAACAACACAACATGCGTCACCTCATGCGAGAGTACCCATCCGGAAAGCGGCTTGACTCCTCCAATTTCAACCCCTTGCAGTCTTGGAGGCGTGGAGTGCAGATGGCGGCTCTCAATTGGCAGACCTACGACGTCAATCAGCAGATCAACGAAGCAATGTTTGCTGCCGGCTTCGATCGGTTAGGCTACGTGCTCAAACCAGAGGAATTGCGCCACGCAAAGCACTTGCCCATCGTTGAAGCTATCGACCACGGAGCGGAGAAGAAGGACAAAAAAGGAAACAAAATCGTCAAATTCGAGGTCGAGGTCATTTCCGCCCAGCGCCTGCCACGTCCACGCAATCAACCTCCGGAAGCCGGCATGAATCCATACATCGAGTTCGAAATGTACTCTGCAGAAGATAAAGCTCGCGGAATCGCTACGGCTCAGGGCGGCACTGACGCGTCAGCTAAGGATGGGTCCTCCGGAATCGGTTCGCCGCTTCGCAAGCGAACGCGCACTGTCGAGGGCAACGGCTTCGATCCCACCTACTATGAAGGCATCAAGATGGCAGTCGAGACGAAGTACCCAAGTTTGATATTCGTACGATGGACCGTCTGGAATGCACCCGAAGGGAAGAAGTCCTCGGGAAATGGTGCATTGCTGGCGACATACACTGCTAAGCTCAGCAGCCTGCAGCAAGGCTACCGGCATCTTCCGCTTTTCAACCCACAAGGCGAGCAGTACCGCGACGCGAAGCTGTTTGTCAAGATCAAGAAGGAAGCGCCGGTTCCATTGCAGCAGATCGACGATACTGTATACTACAATCCGACCGATCCTTCGGCTTCGCCACGGCCCGAATCTTTTAGAACGGCGGGCAGATCGTGGCCATATCGCGTATTCAGTCGGAATTCTAGCCAACGACGCAAGGACAGTCAGACTGATACCGCTGGACTTATCAGTCGCACCTCAAGCATGGACCGAGAGTCCTTGCAATGATGATGACACATTTGACAATTGCGAGCTTTTGCATCTACGATACCCGTCCATTCTCCGGCTGGCGTTTTCCGGATCACGCGCATTTTGCACGCAGCTGGCACGCTGTACGCTACGCATTGGGATGGCATTCTAATATACAGTCTTATACCCCATCATGCATGTTCTCGTCTTTCCTCTGGCGCGGAGTTTTCAACATCAACAATTGCACATGACGGCCGACTACACAACTCGCATCGACCGAAGCTTGCTGGAACAACAACAGCAACCACAACAACAACTACTACATTTGTCCGGCGAAGACTCAGGCCGCCAATTAACGAGACGCTTTTGCTTTTCACTTTTCCTATGTATTTTCTTGTACACTACTACAATTGGCATAGCAGTTTTGGGTCGGAATGAATGGCCTTTGTGTGTTCGATTCTGCACATCTCTCTGCTGGCTTTGAGGATGTTTTGTATTGGTACCCAATCCTCTGCGAGCCCCAATGGATTTTGTGGTGCGACGCATCAGCAGAAAGGAAGAAATGGAAGAAATGGAAATAGAGTAGAGAAAGCTCAGACGCCCGCTTTTTGGTCTATTGCAGATTAAGATTTAACGAAATCCCCAATAACATTATAACACTTGTTGTGATGACATGATGAAGAAATTTGTCTCTGTGCCCACCCCAGTCTCTTTCATCTTCTTCTTCGAAGCTTATCGTAATTCTGTATGTATGTATGTACGCAACATGCCTTGACCTTGTCTCGCTGGGTTGATATTTGACAGCTGCCAAGAGATCGCATCGCTGCTCTCCGATTCGCGCTCCCAGGTGCTCGTCAGGCCCGGAAGTTTGGAGGCTTTTGGAGGGTTAATGTGTTTGTAAGCAAGCTAGAACCTTGTAGTTCAGAAGCGTGTATCGACTTCGCGTCTGACGTTGACGTCGGAGGCTCGAAAGTAATAACTGAAAAAGGGGATGGAGTCCCGTCCACAGTCCACGAGTGAGGCGGTTGTGGGAGTGGCACTATGGAGGCGGTGAGTGAGGATGATTGCGGGTATCGGGAGGGAGGGAGGCAGGGAAAGGGAAAGAAGGGATTGGATGATGGAATGGTATTTGAGCATGTTTTGGTTAGCTGTACGGTATGTGATAAGCAATACATGGAGCCACTGCCTCCTTCATCGGTCGTTACAGTCGTTTCTCAGCGAGCATTCCCGTACCGGCGCAGTACCGCGGCCGCTCGATCATAAATGCGGTATCTATCAATGCTGAAGTGTGAAAACCTGCTCACTTCTTGGATGCCTTCTTACCATTCTTCCCTTCCAAGCATGGTAGAGACAGTCTGAACTCGTCGTCATCCAGGTCGAGTTCGGCGCGAATGATGGACTGCCCGAAGAGCTTCTTGTCATAGACGTGACGACCATGATCTCTCATCAAGGCAGCCGCGTCTTTGTCTCGCTCGTCATTCAGGCCAAAGAAGACAACATCTTCCTTGGGCTGGACTTGATGACCTTTGATGGCAGAGCCTCGCATGACGACTCTGGCGCCGGTATCTGACCCCAACTCGGTGACGTTTTGCCAGTCCTCACCGTAGCTGAAAGCAGCTTGGGGTGTGAAATAGAGGATCTTGCCTGCGAATATTGACTTGCGATTGTTGTTTCCGACACTTGCCTGCAGCTCTGGTAGGACGTATGGATCCAGATCTAGAAGAAGACCTTCATCCTTGGAGTCAGAAATCCAGCTCTCGCTCACAACCCTCTTGTTGGCGACTAGAGTCTTCAACACTTTAACAGTCGATGGAAGGCTGTCATTAGGAACAACACACACGAAGTTGGTGCGCTTGCTGGGTGTTTCGTTTATGACGGGTACGTTGTTGTCCCTGAGATACTTCTTTTGCTTTGAATCAAGGGTGAAAGAGCTCAGCAAGACCTTTGGTGTCTTTCCTGACAGTGCAGCGGGTGCTTCGGGAGGTGACTCGCTCGCGATCGCTTTCTTCGACAAGGCCTTCTGGGTCTGTGGAGTCTGAATTGCGCGCTGTGCTTTCACAGGTGATGAAGATGGAGCAACACGCGAGGAATGCTGCGGCTTCTTAGTCACGCTTGACGAGGCCACGGCAATCTCATCATGGCTTTCCTCTTGCACGGCTGGTGCTAAGGACTTGCGAGGACGGCCTCTCTTCTTGATTACGCTTGACGGTGCCACAGCAATCTCGTCCTGGCTGTTTTCCTCCACGGCGGGTGCTGCCAACTTGCACGGACGACCTCTCTTCTTGGGTGGCTCCGCAACCCCTTCGTCATCTTCGTCATCTTCGTCGTCAAGAGTTTCAGGTACCCTAGCTGCGAAATCAGGCTTGGGAGGAGCCGGAATCCTGTCTGGCTCATCTGGAATGTCGTACGGCGATCGTATTCGTTCGAACTTGCGCTTGGTGATTCTCGTAACGCTCCGCAGCTTACCACTGCTTGGAATTGCTGGCTCTGCTTCTGGTGGCGTGGCTCTCGGGATCGACCTCGATGTAGCCTCATGAGCCACTTCCGTAGACCCCATAGGCCGCGAGAGATCGTCTACTAGGTCGCGTTGCGGTTCGTGCTGCTCGTCTGCACGTGCGGTCTCCTTGTCTGGGAAGTCTGCTTCCACGTTCTTGGGTGAGCTCTCGGAAGCTGAGGAGGCCTTTGATACATTGGTCTTTGCTTTCAAAGGCGAGCTGGACCGCTGCTTGGCATAGGTTATCTGGGGCTTGATTTTCTGAAACATCTCCAATTCCTCCTCGCTGTCATCTGCAATGGGCGCCATGGGGAAGTCGTTGGGGACGACAGCATCGGTGCCGAGGTCAAGATCGCCTTCATCGTCTTCCTCGGTTTCAGCATCATGGTCAGAGACAGGATCTCGGTCAGGGTGCTCAGCGTTCCGCTCAACGGCGGAGACAGCGTCGAGATGTTGCTGGAGCATGCCTGCTGGCGGCATGATTGCAGGTTCTCGCGTGTCCTTGGACTCGGAAGACGAGCTAACTGCGGCGTCGGCGGCGTAGTCTTTTTTTCTTGCTTGGGCGACAGTTGAGTCTGGTGGTGTCAACGGGCGAGAAAGGGTCGGCAGCTGGCCCGTGAGCTCGAGTTTCAGGCTGAGCTCAAAGAAGTCGAGGGTGTATCCGGTGTGTAGGGTTATGAGATTGCCTGAATTTGATGTGAGCGTGCGCAGGGATTAGTGGATATTGAGTTGGCTTACGGAGAGTCGGCGTCGACTTCTTCACGTCGATGGTGTGTGACGGGTAGTGCTCGCTCGGGCTAGGCAGCCATCAGCATCCGAACACGAGCCAAGTGAAGTTGCGGGAGACTCACGGCGTTTCTAATTTACATGAGACGAAAGTCTCGAGTTCGATCAGCGTTGGCGTAACGATGGCTGCGGCGTCGCGTGGCGCGTCAGGAAAGCGAAGGAGCAAAGGATGTATGTATGCACAAACGGGAACTCACTGAGTCTCGCAATCACGTCGGTAGACTGGGCGTTGGCGCTGCTTTCGGGTCGCAGGTAGATTTCGCCGCACGTGTATGCGTATGCAATTTGAACGAGTGCGGCGCTGTTGACGGCAGCTTCGGGCACGCGGAGGGTAACAATGTGAGCAGAGACGCCGTACATACACCGAAAGTGCATGACAGCGCGACTTTATGCTCCCAAGCAAAGCCAAGCAGCGCAGCACGAGCACGAGCACGAGCACGAGCACGAGCGCGGGTGAATGTGAATGTGAATGTGCTTGAGCTCGATATTGACCTACCTCGAGTGTTGAGATATTCTTTACGCGAGAAGGCAGTCGCACCTTCCTTGTCGCTTCACCGGCCCACGAGAGCTCTTCCCTCCTTGCACTTAGCACGACTCGCAAATCTTCTCCTGATCGTGATCAAGCCAAATATATCTGCTCTGCTGCACGCCTGGAATTCGCACAAATGCCATGGCGTTCTTGTCAAGCAGTGGCCCGAGCGTCCGCGCTTTCCTTACGATTGTTCTTTGTGAGACCTTGGCAGGGAAGCAGCAGCATGTCGCAGGCCCGCACCTCAAAATGCCACTAGTTGCTGAATAAACCCATACCGAACGAATGCATCGTCGTAGGAGTTTCCATGGGAATCATTGCCCCGTTGCGTGGCAAAGCCCGTGAGCAAAGGTGCCGTCAATTCCAGCGCTCGTGGCCGTTGAGCGCTTCCGCATGAGGAAAGTGCAACTTCACAGCTCTTTCAATCTCGCCTCTTCAAATAACCCAATCTCACACTTCCACCCACTCTCACAATCCTCACAACACCATGGCGCTTCACTCACCTGCGCCGTAGTATTGTTCTTCCTCAACCACGTGCACAACACTCCCAACCCACAACAATTGCTGCCAGGAACAATCCTTCGCGACCACCAGAGGCTATTGTTTCCGTGCCAATTGTTCGAGAAGCTACAAGAAGTCGTCTGTTCCAGCACGCCGGCTCTTGTTTCGCTTTTCTTTCATGCACCACGAACGCCTGGTCTGAGCTGATCGAGACTGATATCGCCTCGCACACCACCTGACCTCCTTTATCTCTTCGCCCTCGCTCTCCCGCTCAAGTCCACCTGCAGCAAACTGCAGCGGCTTTCGACCACCAACATCGACAAACTTCAACAAAGCCATTGCAGCAATCGCCAGCCATGGCCGACGAGATTCCAGATTCCGCATGGGTCCTCGCTCCTGCTTTCGATCCCTACGAACAGCAGTTCAGCGTCACCATGCCAGACGGACAGACCCAAGTCGACCTCGTCATGCGCGCAGTCATCACCTTTCAGAACACAGCCGTCATCATGGGCATCATTTACGGCATCCAGATCGGCCTGTCGATCCTCCTCCTGACCATTCTTGCAGTCATGACAAGACCTGAGAAGCGACGCAGCTTCATCTTCTTCCTCAATCTTGCAGCACTTGTCCTCATCTTCGTCCGCAGTGTCATCACATGCACTGCCCTGCAAGGTCCCTTCTACAACGTCTACAACTGGTCGATCGGCTACTACGAGCACGTCGGCGAGGCCATCCGTGTCAGCATTGCCTGCGAGGTTATGAACTTCTTGGTGATTGTGGCAATAGAACTGTCACTGCTCTTCCAAGTTCGCATAGTCTGCTGCACCTTGAAGACAAGCCTTCGCCTCCTGGTGACTGCCGTTACCACTCTCGTCGCCGTAGTGGTTTGCGGTATAAGATTCGCCACCATGGTCGTCAACGCGAAAATCGGCATAAGCCAAGTCGACACTAAGGGTCCGGCAGAGCGAGCGCTGGTGAGTACCATGGCATCCGCCACCAACATCAGCGTCATTTGCAGCATCATCTTCTTCAGCGCCATCTTCTGTGCCAAGCTCGGACATGCCATCTACCAGCGCCGCACCATGGGCATGAAGCAGTTTGGTCCCATGCAGATCATCTTCGTCATGGGCTGTCAGACATTGTTCATTCCAGGTAAGTGCCCATAAACCTCCAGATCCATCCAGTGCTTGTACTAACTTTCTTCTCAGTCATCTTCGGTCTCCTCACCTACTTCGTGGTCCAGTTCTCTCAGATCTACAGCCTCATGCCGATGGTCGTCGCTACGTTTCTCCCCCTTTCTAGCATGTGGGCGTCGACGAATACCAAGAGCGACAATATCGCGGCACCGCACCAAGTCAAGCGTAACCGAGATCTCGTTGTCTCGCCTCACACCAAGACTGGCGGCAGTAGCGGCAACTACACCAGCGAGAAAGAGCTTCTGGGAGACGGCACACTTGTTGGCGATGGCGACACACCGACCAAGGCCAGCCACGTGGGCTCAGATCAGGATAGCATCGACTTTGAGATCCAGAAGATGGGTGGCTATGGCCAGAAGATCCACGTCGACCGCACCTACACTGTTAGATGTGACTAGGCGTCTCCTACCACAAGAGGTGGCGGACCTCACAGGAGTCCTTTCGGCGATGACTGCAGCATCACTTCGAAAGAGCTGAGGGACCTTGTCTGAGGATGTAAAGATGGCATTTTCTGCGGCGATTGAGCGACTTTAGCGAACGCGGCGATGTTCAAAGCCCACTAAATCATCAGCCTTGCTTCGAAGCTGTTTTTATTTGTTATGGGCATGCATTACAAGAGCGAGTATATTTAAGCGCACAAGCTTTGCCAAATTGAGAAGCGAAGGGAAAGGAAAGAAAGGCTACAACATACTAGGTAGTCTCTGCTGAAAAAGGATATCGCTGAGCGATCATCAATTTCGAGAAAGCATTTCCATCGTCCTCTGACTGTCCACGGCCCTATGGAAATGATATCTCTTGGTAGGGATCATCCAATGGATCTAAATCGTTCAGCCAAATCTCCAGTCTCGCGCGCCGAAATGCTTCTGCTTCTGGATCCCGCCGCTTCGAGATTGAATGTGATGCATCGTGGAGCGCATTAAAATTGGTAAGTGGCGCTGTGTGGATATACTGCTGACTTTCGATGGTTCCCGCATTCTGAACTGTCCCGGAAGTATGGTCGTCGTGGTTGGTGATGACTTGTGGTATTGCCTGAGCCTGAACCGACTCTCGCGCGGGGGAGGTCATTGCCTAGTTTTGCTCGATCGATTGTTGATCATGTCGCAAACATGCCAGACACGGCGATGGTTATTTGCGCAAACATATCCGCTGCTCCATTCGCGCAAAGCTTTTGCCGCTCTGCCCACGACCTCGTGAACATGCTTTCCAACCATCATACCATGCCCAGAGTCCTCTTCCTCTCGCGAGCGAATCTTACCCAGGTCCAATCCTCGGCATATCATTATGCTCACTCAACGTACTCAAATACTTATTCAACTGCTCCACCCGTTCCTTATGTGTCAAAACCCCTTCCCTTTTCAATCTCTCCTCCAATCTTTTCCTTCTCCTCTCTTCATGTCGACGCTCCGCTTCAGTTTTGCCATAAGCTTTCGAATCTTTCTCTTTGGTGTCTGCTTCGTCTTCTTCGGCGAGGGCTTTTTGGATGGCTAGAGATTTTTTGTTTTCGTTGCTGCTATCTTGGAGTTTTTCTGAGGAATTGGTGGTTTCGTTGCTGGGTTGGGGTTCCTTTTTCTTCTTTTTCTTTTTCTTGTCGATGCCCGCGCCGGTGCCTTTTAGTTTTAGGCCGCCGCCGACGGCGTTGTTGTAGTCGGATGATGGCATGGTGGTGTTGGAAGAGGAGGGAGAAGCAAGGGAGAGAGAGAGCTTGAAGTCTGGAGGAGTCGCGAAAGCTCGGGCCAGATTTGAGCTTGCGTCTATATTGGGGGCGAGGGCGAGCTCATTTTCACTTGCTACTTGACAACAGGGCACCATGTAAATAATTGGACAAAGCATAAGCACTTAGGATTTTTACTATGTAGCAACATCCCCAGCGATGTCCTCAATATCAGGTATTCTCGCAGAAGTCTGAACCTCGCCTACATCCTCTGACTTGATCTTTACGGTAGCAGCAGCATCGTCAGCTTCCACGACAGTCTTCTTCTGATCCACAGCCTCGTTCCCTTCCACTTTAATTTCAATCTCCTGCTTGACCCTCTTCTTCTTTGGACTGCCTGCAGTTCTTCCTGGACAAAGCCTCTTTACTCCCAACTCGCATTGACTGCAATCGCGTCCGACAGGTGGGCAGAACGTCTGTCCAAAACCCACGAGCAAGTGATTGATATCGTGCCACTTTTCTTTTGGCAACCATGACTCTAATGCTTCCCGGGTCTGCTCAGGCGTGCTTGTCTTGTGCCAACCCCATAGGTTTGTGATACGGTGCACGTGAACATCAACACCAATGCCTTCGTCCCTACCCCAAGCTGACGACATGCACAAATATGCCATCTTTGGTCCAACTCCTGGAAGCGAAACCAATCCTTCGATAGTGTCTGGAATATCGCCATTGAATTTGTCTCGCAGAATCTCGGCTACCTGCTTTATGAACTTGGTTTTATTGTTGTGAAAGCCGACCTTGTTGATCATCGAGTTTAGCGTTGGGGAATCGACTTCCAGTAGAGCCTCCAAATTGAAGCCGCCCTCTAGACCATCTTGTAGATTCTTCATGGCGACGGCGGTGACGGTATCCTTCGTCTGACTGCTCAACATCAAAGCAATGAGCGTCTGCAGTCTTCTGTCTCGAGGGGACCTCGTTTCTTCTGCTAGACTCTCGCATCCCATCGTATCTACCGGAGCAAGGCGAGTCTTCCTCATCTCGGCAGTGATGTTGTAGACCTCTTCCCAGTTCGTAGGAGGGCTGACGCCAACGACCTCCCCATTCTCGTTCTTGATCTTCTTCGCAGGTTGTCTTCTTGGCTTCTTTTCAACGCCATCCTCAAGCTTGGGTGCCTTTCGTGGCGAACGTCGAGTTTCGATGGATGTCGGTGCTGCTTCTGGGGCTAAATCATCCCGTTTCCGTTTGCGTACACTGCCATTTGTTGCTGCGCGATCGAGCTCGGGACTTGCAGGTGGATCTGAGAGCTCAGCATCCGAGACATTGCTGGTCGTTTCTGCTGCAAAGCCACGAAGTGATCGTCTAAATGCAGCTGTTGCTTTCTTGGGCGAAAGCGCCTTCACGAGATGCGCAGTCTCCCGAGAGAGACGAGAGGTCCGCATGGGTGTTAACGAATGATTGTAAGAGGAAGCTCCAATGAGACGAGAGGTGATGGTCAGGGGAAAGGGTCTGGCACGGGATGGAGAGAAGTGTACGCGCCCTACCTCGAAAGCGTCATCAATTGCCTGCCAAATGTTCGATCATTTCTCCTGGCATCTGATCTATTCCACAGTTGGTGTTGGAGTTTGATGCATGTGATCTTTGCTTCCTGCCGTGAGTGCTCACGACTGTCAAGTTGCTTGTGATGCGGCTTATGCGAGTGACCTCGCGTCGAGGTGTGTGTGGCTGGTGCATGTGAAGTCGCAGCGACGTCGAACTTCCACCTCTCTGAGTCTCTTCCAACGACCGAGTGAAGCGCAAATCGTCGCACTCAGCACAGCATCAACATGATCATCCGATAACACTGCAGCAACAACATTCATACCATCGCGATCATGTCGCAAGCGCAAGACCTCCACCGCGCCCTCTTGCGACCAGCGATCATCCACACTCTTCGCGCCGCAGGCTTCCACAGCACCAAACCCTCCGTCCTCGACACTTTGGTCAACCTTGCTGAACGACATCTGCTATTACTCGCCCAGACTACAGCTCAACATGCCTGGTCTTCTCACAATGATCCCGTCCCGACAATCACAGACGTCCGCATGGCTCTCTCAGACTGCGCTGTCCTGATCCCTCTTACCTCGCCCTCAGAAGAAGGCTGGAAAGAGCGCATGCGCAAACCACTCTCCGAAGTCGCAGACGTGCCTCAGGGTGGAGCGAAGCGGATGCAAGCCGAGAAACGAAAACGCGATGACGAAGACACGAAAGACGTGAGGGAGTTCACGAAATGGTACGATTCTCCACAGTATCGCGAGATCCAGAGAGTCGCAGGCTTGGAGAAGGACTTGAGTGTCGCGGGTGCTGCGCCGGTAGTTGGTGTTGGTGGAAGCGTGGTCAAAGAGGACGATTTCTTTACGGCACTCAAGAAGAAGCATGGTGGAAAGGTGGGTGGGGATGAGAGGTTTCAAGGTACGGTGCTGGGACGGGCGGCAGAGGATAGAGAAGTTGTGGTCGAGGGTGGGCCGGTGCAGAAGATTCATGAATGGAGGCCTAGATTGGAGGAAAGGAGTACGAATATTCAGGCCCAGCAGAATGGCGTGAAGGAAGAGGAAGAGGGGAGTGCTGCGGTATCGCCGGCGGAAGCGAATGACACTGCGATGCAAGAAGTTGAGGCGGCCGCATGAGCCAGCAAAACCTGCTTTATTCATGATTGGTATTTTAGCGAGGCGTTTGGAAAGGTCGATGTTAAGCACGACCAGGAATGGGGTTTTTTGCTGCTGGTATGGAATTCTGATCTCGAAGATCTCGACTGCTCCATGACCTTCTCAGTCAATGAAACAAGAAGATTCTGTGGTGCTGCAACGACCCTGCTTCTAGATGGCTACTCCGTGCTTGTCGGGCGACCGAAGAGACCTTTGGACCTCGAGTTGTCCATGACCGTCCGTATCGTTGGCTTACATGCCCTTGGTTCGCTGCAATCTCATCAAAACCCGCAATCACCGAAACTTATATCCCATGAAGACCGGTCCTCGGTTCTGGTTCACCATTCGAGGTACATCAGAATCTCCAGCACTAGAGACAGCCTTCTCCTCCCCCTCAGTCCGCGCTTCCTGTTGCAATCTCTTCGTCCGACGCCGAAAATACAGAAAGCATGCCAACGTTGTCAAAAATGCCAGTCCAGCCGCACCAGATGCAGCCAGTACTGCAGTCCCACAAGGTTCAGTCGGTTCCCAACATGACGGCCCTTCGCTTTGAGGTACTGGGTTGAAGAATTGCGGAGTTGTGGTGGAATTTATAGATGTGGACGTGCCGCTGGACGTCGAGGTGGAATTGATGCTCACAGGCACGATGCTGATTGGTATTACGCTCGTGGTTGATGAGGAGCTGGTTGCCACTGAATTAGTCTTCGTTATGAAGACTGTCACGGGTGTGTTTGTGTTCGATGGAGCTGAGCTTTTTGTGCTTGTGCTTGTTGTGGAGGGAGAAAGGCGGACGACTGAAGTAATGACTTCGGTCGTAGGTCCTAGAGGGAAATGCGAAAGCGTTATAGTCGAGGTGGAAATCGCGTCGTCCTCTCTGCTACTGCTGCTGGGTCGTAATGTAAGTGTTGAGGTTGATGCTGCATTTTCACCGTTGCTGGCCATTTCATGATGGAGCTGAGTTTTCGGAGTATGCTAAAGGAGGGCAAGATGGTGAATTCTCTCTGCATACAACTAACAGAACGTTTGAAAACAGCCATAGCGTTCGTTCGGCGCTTAGTTCTGGTTGTTGTGCTCGGGAGTTGTTTCGAAGATGTAGAAGATGGATCCACTTTAAGCGCGCGGCTTCAGCAGTTGCACAAGTACAAGCAGCCAAAATTATGTAGAGCCATGACAGTGCCGTCTTCTCCATATCAGTACTCTCCTACTTACGGTGTCCTGTCTTTGCAATATTCCAGAATTGTTTTCGTTTAGACGACTTATATTGGTAACGATGGCGGGCAAATCAATCACACCACTATGCTCCCTCACTTTAGGGTGGACGACTTGAGGCTGGCATGATCTTCTTTGAGTTCCGCCGGCGAATAATGGCTCTGAACGGGGGTGAAGTCAGAGCTGGCACGAAGCTCTGCCATAGCCGAAGTTACCCAACAGTGATGCAGCGAGTTTTACTCGTTCCATGCATGGCTAGAAGTAGAGCCGGAACGCTGAATTGTTGCGGCCGTCGCTTCGAGAGTGTGTCCACGCGAAAGCGGAGCAAAAGCAGTGCCCCCCTCCTCGGCCACCTCGCGGTGATATTCTACCGGCATCCTTGATCGCTGACTGACACGCAGCGTGTCGACTCACGCATATGCTTGGCACAGACGCGAGCGGCAGCAGGAGGAGGAGGAGGAGGCGTGAGTGATGGAGTGGAGGATGAAGGAGGAACGAAATGGGCGCAGGAGCGGACGGGTAGCGGCATTATTCACAGCATGAAGCTGAAGTTGATCGTTCACCAATGCCTGCAATGTGCGCTTTCGGCCGCCGTAGAATACCTGAAGCCTGAAGGGAGCAAGGCACCAGGCCAAGTAAGACATCGCAAAGCAACGGCGGCGGGAGTCGAGACTGTCGAGTGCCTGTGGCCCTGCGGCTATGGCATTGCAGTAGAAGCAGAACTAAACCTGCACCCTCTGGCAAGTGAAGTGGTAGATGCTAACTTAATACAGGCATAATCTGCTTCAGCCTTCTCCTACTACGTGTTAATAATAACACAGATAAAACAGGTCGCAGGGCTCGGAGACTCGTCCACAGGGTATGATAATACCACCGTAACCTTGACAGAGGGTGTAGCTTGCTTTTCGCTTTTCGGCTGTGGCGAAGGACCACGGGCTACGGGCTGCGGACACGACACCTCAGGAATACATGTATCCACTTTTCTTCTTCAACCCGTACTGTGCTGTGCTGTGCTCGAAATTGCTTTCCTTCGTGCATGCCGCACCGTGCGTGTATCTCAACCTCGTTTATTTGCCAACCTGTCCCGCCGTCGTGCCAGAACGTCATTCGACCTGGTCACTGACGCCTCGCATACAATAATCATCTGCGGCAGACCTCATTTGCTGTTCTCCGCCGGGGCTTGGCCTTGGCCTCAAACTTCACTTCTTTTTCGAGAGAGTGTGAGCTTCCTCCATCCACTCCCACCACGCACCACGCACAACATCACTCACCACCCGCTGTCCCACCCTCCAGCACACGCCCACGCCCATGCTCACGCACCACCACACTGACTGACCAGCCTAGACACGCCCTCCATCGCCTGCTGGACCCGTGCATCCCCCTTCGACACGCAAACACCGCCGCTTCTCCGCTCCGGCACTCCTTCGCCTGCCCACCCGCATCAGAGCCCGGCGTGCGTCGCTCTCCGCATCCATTCCTCTACAGCATCTACATTCCGCAGGCCTATTCACTCAGCTAGCACCGACACAGCTTCCGCAGCGCGGCGGGCTGTGAGCGCTCGGTGGTAGCGCCAGCCAGCTTCTACCAGGCCCGGAGAAGAGCAGGAGCAGTAGCGGCGGCTGCTGGTAAATCTTTGGAAAACGCCCAAGTGGGCAGACCAGAGTACGGGCAGTGTGACGCCCACGCGCTTCCACCCAACAGTCTTTCCGCACCGAGCAGCGTCGCGCCGAACGTGATGGCTGCTTCTATCCAAAGCCCGAGCGGCTTTTCCTATGCACAGGCCGCAAAGGGTCATGCCTCGACGGCAACCTCGCAGACTCCCTCGAGTAAAGTCAATTCGGGCACTGCGACACCCGCGACTGGCAACTTCTCCGAGCTTGGGCCAAATGGCAACTGGGCAGATGATGTGGAGGCTAGTGTTGGCGAGAAGCTTGAATCGCGAAAGGCTGCTCAGGAGTCGGCCAAGAGTGTGCCAGCAAAGGACAGCGCAGTTGAGCGCACCAAAGTTGAAAGCAAGGTCGTGAATGGCACTTCAGGAGTGTCGTCCCCAGAGCCGGCTGTCGCATCAAGCACCAGTAATACTGATGACTCGTCGGTGCCCAACACTACCACTTCATCAGAGACTACGTGGGAGACCAAGTCGCAAAATTCTGAGCCTTCGTGGATAGCAGAGCGGAAGGAGCGTCAGAACCACGACAAGACTGAGAAGTCTGACGAGCGTTCTTCACGGAAGAGTGGTAAGAAGGGTGACAAGGACGCCAAGGAGGCATCCACACCAAAGCCTGAGCCAAAGCTGGTCGTCCTTACAGAATCCACACCACCTGCAGTCAATCCGTGGGCCAGACGCGCGGAAGAGCAGAAAGCCAGAGCAGTGTCACTTCCTCAGCCATCGAAACCATCTCCTGTTGCATCTCCGGCGCCAGCCAACAAGGAGAACCAAAAGCCTCAAGCAGATGCGAGAAAGAAGGCCAACTCAGTCACTAGCATTGCGCGGGAAGTCGACCAGCCCTCCGCGACTGAGACCAAGAAGCCGCAAGGTAAGCGTGCCAACGTGCGCACTAATGTTCGTCAGAACTCAAAAACGACTACAGAAACTGCCCGCACCGACTCTACACCACCGGTACCGCGTGCTGCTCAGCGTGAAGCTCAGAGTCTGCCAAACTTGACCGCAGTACCACCCCCTGTGAAGGATGAGATTTCGTGGCCAACTCCTGACAAGGCTGACAAGGCCGAGGATAAGGATCGCAAAGAGCGTCCAGCTGAAAAGGAGATCGAGAGTACTGGAGACGCTGATGCAGCCGAGGCAAAGCCTCGCGAGAAGACGAAGTGGACCCCATATGCAGTCACTCCGAATATTGTCTGGGAGACTGAGGAGATGAATCGTCCACGAGGCTCTGGTGAGCGAGGTGGACGTGGTGGTGCATCAACCCGCGGTCGTGGTGGTCTCCGTGGAGGACCCAACGGCTCCAAGGGTGATCGTAATGCTCCAAGAAAGGAAGGCTCACAAAGTGAGACCGATGCTGGCAAAGAGACAAGCTCGCGTGATCGTTCGGATGTGGCCGAACGTGAGTCTATGCCACCACCACCCAAGCCCACCCGTCAATCTGCGGCAGATGCATCTCGAGATGGAAGCCGTACACGTGCTCAAAACCAGGCCAAGAACTCAACACATTCGATCTCTGGTGGCGAGGGCATCGCGCCCTCCCAGAAAGTGACTGAGACATATCGCACCAAGTCACCGGAAAATCTTGAAGCACGGGACGTGAAGATTCCCGAGCCCATCCCACGACAGGGCAGCGATGCCGAGACCACTCGCGAGGCCGTCGATACCGCACGAGAATCCTCGAAGAAGCTGTCTGCCGATAGCAAGAAGGAATCTCGAAGCTTCGACCAAAGAGAGTGGAACGGAGCACCACGAGGAGGGAAACGTAATGGCCGTGGCCGGGGTGGCTCGCGAGAATATACGAATGGTCATCAAGCAGCCCAAGCATTCGTTAATGGCCACGCTGACCTTACCGCTGCCTTTGGTGTTCCTGCATCCTACCAGTCTGGTCGTGGTGTCTTTGGATTCAGCCAGCAAGGTCGCGGCAGCTGGCGTGGCAGTGGTCCACGCTCGCAATCCATTCCTATTGACAATACCTTTCCGCAACGCTTTGCGACTTATGGTCCTGCAGCTCAGCTGCCACCAGTGCAGACATATTATCCGGGCATGTATGACTTCGGTGGCGTTCCAATGACCGCCATGCCATACCCACCATACATTGATCACACCTACTTGATGGACATGGTTAGCACTCAGCTTGAGTACTATTTCTCCATCGACAACTTGTTGAAAGATATGTTTCTACGCAAGAACATGGATTCGCAGGGTTATGTCTTTCTTGACATCATTGCCAACTTCAACCGCATCAAGCATCTCACACAGGACAAGGAATTACTCAAAGCTGTTTGCTTGAAATCCGACAACATTGATATCAGATATGGTGTTGACGACGGCAAACTGCGCCTCCGCAAACGAGAGGGCTGGGACCAGTTCCTGCTGCCAAAGGAGCAGCGCGACGTATCGGTACAGAATGACGACCCGCAAGAGCTTCGCCGCCCTGAGGTGCCGCAACAGCTGTTTGTTGCGCCGCCTCCACCATACCGGGGACCACTGTCTGCAGGTGTGCCAGATGCACAACATCGGAGGTCTTTCGATCCAGGCTATGCTGTGAACGGCTCCCAATACCACCCATTCTCCCTTCTCGGGGAACAGTACGGCGAGCTCACTAATGGCGACGATCATCGAGGCCGTGCTACGAAGTCACCTATCCGCGAGAACAGTGTCTCTCCTGGCCAGTCGTTCGTCGGTGCTTCGGGCCATGCTCATCATGAGCCGGACGTGTTTCCAGACGATCAGATGCACATATTGACTGTAGTGGTCAAGCCCAGCTCGGCGAAACAACCCCACGCTTCACGGACATTCTCCAATGGATCAATAGATACACGCAGCATTTTCACCGAGATGGAGAAGTCAAACGATGAAGGAGCGAAGCCAAAGACAAATGGTGAACCTCTTGTCAACGGTAGCAGCAGCCCAAGCATCAGTCGACATGCCAGCCCAAGCCACGATCGTTCTCCCGAGAAGAGCAATGGCAAGGGTTACACACTTCTATGGATCAAGGATAAGGAGATTCCTACAGAACAGTATCCAGAGAACTCGACCCACGAGCCATATCACGCACTCCGAGTGAGGGCACTCTCCCAGCGGGAAGAAGCTGCGACTGGTACTTGTCCCTATGATCTTGACGTGCTGTACCAATTCTGGTCCCACTTCTTGATCCGCAACTTCAACAACAAAGTCTATGGAGAATTCAAATTCTTTGCGAACAACGACGCACAAGAACGTCACAACGACACGGGCTTGCAAAATCTTGTCCAATTCTACGCGAAAGCTCTCTCCAGCCCCAGTCCTATCCGAGAGCACGTAGTCAAGGACTACGTTGAATTGGTCAAAAACGAACCTGCAATTCTTCAAGGTGCCGCTTTCAAGCAACTACGACAGGCCTATCGTGACGGGGCGTTGAATGTCAAGAACCGCAAGAAGTTGACCGACCTTCTCGACCAGGATATGAAAGACCGACTGGACGCATGAGGCCTCATCATTCATTGCTGGGTACCTTATACCTATCATTTCATGGCTGAGTGGAGATCTCACAGCAAAAAAGGGGTTTGTCCGTGGTCTGCCAAGTCCTTACGGCTTTGGCTCGCTGTCACCAAAGTACAAGTCTCAATAATTACAGCTCCGCGACGACACCCGAGCTCTCTCGACACGTCTGCCACTACTCCGCGATTGTCGATGTCTTTGCCAAGCGGATGTGGCATATTTTTTGGCTTAGGAAGTCCGGCGTTAGCGGGGACCCTCGGATTATTTGGACTTGGTTGCATACCTTTCTGACAGAAAACAAAAGCATGAGTTACCATACGGACCTTTTCGATTGACGGATCATCACCGCATGCATAGGCCACGAGGCGGCGAGGTGCTGGAAGGGGCGTTATGGATTGGTTCGCGTGAGATATGTTGATGGATGTGGCTTTTTTCTCAAGGACGTTCAAGCGATGATGTTTGTGCCATGCAGAGGATCAGATGTATTGCTCTTTCTTCTCTCATCGCAAGCTTCGCAGCCCGCCGTCTACGGTAGGGCATTGATGCGCTATCGAATGCATTTCGCGTCGGGGCGAGCTTGCGTTGTGTTTACATGATTATGCAAATAGGTTTAGCAGCGTAGCAGCGACCTGGCTGAGAAAAACACTACTCTAAATGTCCGGCAAGATCTTACGCACCGCGCCTTACTTCCTTGTCTCATTCTTGCTTGAAGAATAATGCCCTCCAGCCCAGATGAGGTGAGAAGCCGTCGGCATCCCGAAATTAGCCGTGCCGCTCGCTCTTCGTGTCGGAGCGGAACAGAATCTTTCGCCTCCCGCCAACGACAGCGCTGCGACTGCCATTCATAATTGACGACAAAAGGCCAAGTATTTGACAGTTGGAAAAAGTTTCTCTTCCTGCCTTCGTAGCCCCTACACAAGAAGCACTTTCCTCATATACAGGCACCGCAACAGACCACCACCACATACCCATCCAATTATTCCCTCGAAACTCATCATTTCAAAATGCCTCACCACGAAACCAACAACTTCTCCGCCCCGCCCACGACTCAAAATTTCTCCGCCCTCCTCTTTGACATGGACGGCACCATCATAGATTCCACAAACGCAATCATAAAACACTGGCACCAAATCGGCCAAGAAATCGGAATCTCTGGATCGGAAATCCTCAAAACTTCGCACGGTCGAAGGAGTATCGACGTGCTCGAAATTCTGTGTCCGGAACGCGCGAATTGGGAGTATGTGTGTAAAGCTGAAGGCCAAATTCCGAAACTTTATGGGAATGATGCGGTAGAGGTTCCTGGTGCGAGGGAGATTTTAAGGGAGTTGGAGGGTGTGAGGGCGCCGTGGGCGATTGTTACGTCGGGGACGAAGCCGCTTGTTAGGGGGTGGTTGGAGAGGATGGGACTGGCGGTTCCGGGGGTTTTGGTTACGGCGGAGGAGGTTGGAAAGGGGAAACCGCATCCTGAGCCGTATTTGGAGGGGGCGAAGAGGTTGGGGGTTCGTGGGATGGGTGAGGGGGACATTTTGGTGCTTGAGGATGCGCCGTCTGGTGTGAAGGCGGGTAAGGCGGCGGGGTTTAAAGTGCTGGCTTTGGCTACGACGCATGATGTTGAGGTGTTGAGGGAGGCGGGTGCGGATTGGATTGTGAGGGATTTGAGGAGTGTGGGGATGGAGAGGTTGATGGGAAGAGTGGTGTTGTGACGGTTGAGATTAGGGATGCGTTGGTTGGTTGAAGGAAGGGCGGGCGAGGAATATGGAGCGATAGAGGCTGTGGTGATAATGCACCACGGCGAGACGGGAAGGCTCTAGAGGTGCGTGACTTCGTTGCATAGCGTTTGGATTGGATTCTTAGATCTAGAAGGTAGATTCCACACGGCGCAACGCTCCATCATCATTCAACGCTGTTCCTCTTTAGCCTCCCTCGCAGCCTTCTTTCGTTGCCAAGCTTCGTGTAAGGCTTCCTTAATCGTACCCTGAGCCTCGTCAAAGTTGGCTCTGCAAACCTTGACTAGTGTCTCCACCTGCTCCGCCGTCCATACAAGGTTATACGATCCGCTCAATTTTGCAGTGGAAGGATCGAAGTCAGGCACAGCTTTCTCGTTCGGTAACAGAGGCATGTATATCATCGTGCATTCCTTTGTGGACAGAGGTGCTGGACTAGACGGCCACAGTCAGTCTAGGTGCCACGATGTCTCGCTCTTCACTTACGGATTCACGACGGTGCGACCATAACTATCAATTACAGTTTCCGGTCTTGGTGCGGGCTTGCCGTCGTAGAGTTGCGCATACAAGCCGTTGAAGCGGTGCGGGTCCTTCTCATCTTCGCCGGGCTTGATGTCGTGTCGCTTCGTGAATTGCAGTCCTCTTCGGCTTCCTATCTGATCAACTCTTTCTTGGAATGTATCCTTCTGGACATTGCTGGACGCGTCCATGTTTATGATTACGTCAGCATCTCGATTTGGGTGGAGAAGGACGTAGGTGGGACTGTTGTTGTCCATGCCACTATCGATCAAATGTATTCTTGGTGAGTTCTCGAGCCCTGGCGGCCTGCCTTTGCCAGGCTCCACGTGCGAGAAGTGATACACTGTGTCAAGATCAGCCACCCGTCTCCTCATGCCGGACGAATCCCATACTGAAGTTATGCTCGTTGCACGCGTGGAGAGGATGGTGGTTCTGAAATTCCTCGGTGCCGTCCTTGCCCCAGAATTTGGTGACGGCGTGCGCCATCTTATGCACAGTGCTTCCCAGGAAGCCTCCTGGCAGGTTCCGACTGATCGTTGATATATACGAAGTGAGGGGCCCGGCCGGTGCGCTTGTAGCCAGTCCAAGGAGTAAGGCTAGAGACTGCTCTGGTAGCTGCATTGTGCTCTTGCCCTGTTCGAACGGTCGTCCAAATCCCCACGTTGGTACCCAGGCCTCAATCTCATCGCGGCCTAGCTATCATCAGTATTTAACCTGCAAAGGGGTTGCAGCTATAGCGCACCAACTTCATACGGAGTCATTTCAAACCACTGCATTGAGCTGTCAATCATCTTTCGTCGACAATTTTGCTGGATCTCACCTGAAACCATGCCTCTGTCGCGTCTGTGTGGTTGCCACTCGTATGGTCACCATCTTTGAAAGGATGCTCTTTGTCTTCCCAGTCTCTCCATGGTCGCTCATGGCGAATGGCAGTGATGATAGGGAGCGGATCGGTGCCGTCATCTGTGTACTGACGAGCTGTCGACCACTTCTACCAAGACTTCTGCATTCCCGCAACCACTCGTTGGGCATGGCCTCCAGGATGACTGATCGGGTCATCTTGAAAAAAGATCCATCCAGTGGTGAAGACAGAGTAAAGGTCCATTGCAACTATCTCGAGGCCGCTTTTTCTTTTCTGAATCAGCGGACCGAGTGTGATTCTGGCACCTCCGGGAACACTTAAAAGTGTACGTATCGCATCGCCTGATAGTGGATGATAGGGCGAGAACCGCTTCTTGCAGTGATCAAGTACTGCCTGCATGCTGTCCTTGCCGAACGTGTAGTAAGTCGCCAGAGCCCAACAGGACCCGGAGACGCCTGCGACGTACGTGAGGCAATCCCAAAGGCCTGTTTGCTTCATCTCTTCGCAATAGCCTAATGTCCCGATCTTGGCAGATTCAGCGGTCAGAGGACAATCGGTGTTCTTTCGATGCTCACCATAGCTCTAAAGCCACCACCGCTTCCCCCAAATGAGACGGTAGGAACATCTTCTGCATTCACATCGAGAGGATCAACACCGATATACTTGGCGAAGGCGTCTCTGCAATGGGCTTTCCGTTTGGCTAGGAAGGCCAACTCTTCGGGGCACAACTCAATGCCTCTTCTCACTTGAGCGATTCTTTCGATCTCGGGAAATAGCTTAGAGTTTTGAATTTCATGCTTGACACGCGTCTCTAATGCGGTCATTCCTCCCCTAACTCATCGCATGCTGAAGTCAGCAGCTATTCGAGCCAAGAGTACACCTCCTTAGAGTACGCAGAACACACATGATTTTGATGTCTGTAATGGCTTCAGGGAAAGCAGGTTTCACGACCTTGTGATAAAATCGCTTCATTGGGCCTTCCTTCTTGGTCTCATCGTCTGAGATTCGCATCTTTTCGTCCATGTCGGAATGAATATCCCCAGGCGTAGAGCAGAGATCCTGTCGATCATGGATCTCTTGCTCGTATTGCCTCTGCTCCGCGGTCTCGGAGCGTCGAATATGGCTACTCTAGTCAGCACGACTTGTCTCACGATTCATTCCTGATTATCGATCACATACAAGTGTTCATGCATTTTCAATGCTGCTGAATGGCAGGCTCGAGCGACTTTTGATAGAGCTCACGGACGTCAAGCTTTGCTTGCTCGTTAGCTTTTTTCCCGCGAGTGGCAACGCGCGACCGAAAACTGATGACAGGATCGTAGAGGTCAGCAGGTTGTTAATAGGGCGTTGATCTGGAAGCTGCATGTTCGGATGCAGCCAATGGGATGGCCAAGACCAGAGCACGAGGCGTGAGATGCATTTCTCTCCACATCCTGAACAGTGAACCCTCCAAAAGTGCCGCGTTCTCCATTATTCAGCATATTCCGCAAGAATGATGCTGTTGAATTGATCGTTCAAGTGCCAAGTAGGCCTGAAGCTGGAGGTGAGCCAAGATTGAGTCAGGAATTAGGTAATGTATTTCACACATGTATCCACTCAGGTTAGGGAAGTTGTCTGATATGCCAATTTTGCTAATCATAATCGAGTGTATGTGCCTTCATTTGCGTGTCTCCTGGACTCCATAAGGAATTTGCTTCATATGGAAGATACCTATCTTGGCTCGTTGCGATTTGAGTCAATGAAGTTGTTCCTTACCAGCACTTACTTTTTGAGGCCACATTCGTGCTGGAGGCGCTATGCAGAGACCCAGAGAGCAGCCTCTACTAACTATGCGTCAGCCCACTTCACCCCTCGCCCCTGCTCTCGTAGCCATGGTGTCGAGGAGCTCGAGGTGCGGCCAGTGCTGGGATAGGCCAGCTCGATATGCTGAAATAACTTCAGCGGCACCGAAGTTGATGCACGTTGCTGTCATGCACAAGCTTGCTTGAGTCTTGTCTCGTCACGGACTCGGAGTAATAAACAAAGGTTGCTAGTAGTGACTTGACTCGCACACGCGTCGATGCCGTTCCCAAGATGTACTGTATGAAGGCATATGGAGAGATGCGTTTCCTGTGAAAGCAGTCGGTTGCGCATAATCCCGGGAAGATGTTCAACGTGCAATAATCCATGCGTAGTCTTGTGTTTTCGCCTGCTGGCTTCTCTCCATCATCGTCAATTATTAATCTCCAAGGCGACGGGCGCGCGCAGCTGCACGGTTGCACAAGACGACTTCATGCAAGGTACCATCCCTGAGGGATCGCGAAGTTTCGCGGAAGGGCTCCGACCTCTGCTGAGTCTGCTCCAGTGCCCATGCCCCATGTCCCATGCCACCAGTGCCACCACCAGGTGAGACGATGTCACGACGGTGATGGTGATGGCGATGGTGATGGCGATGGTGATGGTGATGGTGATGGTGATGGTGATGGTTGAAGGAAGGTGTCGGCTCAACCGGCACGACTGCTTGGACGCCGAGAAGTCGAAGCGATGCGATGCGCTCCACGATTGCGCTGCACGCGGAGCTGTCTCTTCGATGTGTTCGGGGACAGCGGCGTGGAAATTGGGGTGCCTGCTTTGCTCAGACTCACATCATCAGAGCTCTCCGCTGTCCGACGCAAGGCTTGGAACGCCACGCGCCTTTCGCTGCAGCAGTCCAGCTTCGGGCTACACGTACATGCCACATACGCAGGACATACATCACCTCGCTCGCTTTCCCGGCCTTACACACAAAACCTCACGATCATCAGCACGTTGGAAGCGGCTTGGCGGTGTGGCACCGGATACGCATACGGATACTCGCGCCTGATGAACGGCTTCTCACCGATCAGACACGCTTCGCCAGAGTCCAGACCCTTGAGCATGACACCAGGTTCTTCCCCAGAGCAAGTCGTCATGGGTGATCTGGCTCTGTTCATCAGACGTCCCGTCGCTACTCTCCAGCCCGACCGGGGTGCCTCACAGCCAGCCCAGAATTGCAAGCTGATTATGTATGTATGAGATCGATCTTGTGCCCAGTATGCCATCGCTTTCTATCCCATGCACACCCGGATACATTCTACAATTGTCGATGCTGCTGAGCGAACGCACATACATGCACTCCATCGTGGCCAAGATTGATGCGCCCTGGAGCATCCTGAACACTCCGATGGGCTATCATGCAGCTTAGCGGACTCGAGATTGACGTCTAGTGAGTGCAACTCTAACGCGGATTAGCCCCAGCGCAGATCGGCCAGCAATCCAAGCGCCCTTCTCCTTTGCAACGGCCGGCGGCTCTTTCAACGATGGTAGCGGCTGGGATGATGGAAGTTGTGATTCGTGAATCCGCGCGCCGATAGCACACCAAGCGCTCGTTGTGCTGGCCACGTACAAGCAGCAATAATAGCAGACGAGCGTGAGTAGTGAAGCGCTGGGCGTCGCAGCGGGCTGGGCTGGGCTGGACACGAAGGAACAGAGTTATTTTTGGCTTTGGAGAGGAGTCTGCAGGCACTCCTCTCCAGCTCGTCCAATCGTCTGAGGTGGCACGGCGTGCGCACGGGGCAAAAAGTGCGGTGGATTGTGCGCATCGGCCCTCTCGGTGACCAGAGTCGTAGTGTCTGCCCAGCTCTACCCCCTACGATGTGCCAGGTGCGCTGTTCTCGTGTCTTGGAACCTACTATTTCTCCTCTGCTCGACACCCCGTCCAACACCCCACGGTCGTCGCCGTCCACACTCGCTTGCCCTGTATCTATCTGCCCGCGCTGCTGCTGGAAGCGTCGTTCGTTTGTGTGCTGCCTTTGCGCGCCCGCTGCTTGTTGTTGTTAGGTACCTGGCCCGGAGACACTCGCTTGGAGCGCGCGACGGCACGGACTGCTGGGGCCGCGTGAGGCCTCCGCTGCGCTGATCTCGCCTGGCACGCTGGCAAGGCTGTTGCTGGTCGCGAAGCGTGCGTTGCGTGCGTTGCGCTGCGTGCGTTGCGCGGCGTGCGTTGCCGTTGCGTTGCGCGAAGCACTCAGCTGCTGCCCGCTACCTTACCCGCCTGCTTTGCATCTTGCTTCGGTGCCAGCGCCTGTCTGCGCGCCTCCTGCTGGCGCTTGTGCGAGGAGTGGGAGGAGCGGAGAGGTACATACGCCTTGTGCTGCTTTCCTGTGATACTGGAACTGGACGCCTCACTGGCCACCGAGCTTGGCTGCTGCGGGAATGGCCTTCGTCGCTCCCTCCTCTGCATACCACCACGCCGCCGCTGCCGCCGCCGCCGCCGCCGAACCGCAGACATACCTCGATGCCAGCGCTCCGAAGCAGCACCACCACTACGCTGTCACGTCAGCATCATCCCTCCCAAATCCGCCCATCCCGCCCTTCTACCCTCAGGTCATGACTGATATCAAGCCGCGCCTGACCAAAGAGCAACACGACATCTTGGAGACGGAGTTTCAGAGGCAGAATAAGCCGAGCACACAAGTCAAGAAAGGCTTCGCGGAGAATCTAAATGTATCGCTCGACAAGGTCAACGTAAGTGCATTCGCGAGTCTGGGACCAATGCGATCGTGTGTGCCAAGGCTCTTTCTGGCGCAATACTGTCGTCTCCGTGCTGAACTTCTACGCAGAATTGGTTCCAAAACCGTCGCGCGAAATCGAAGCAAGATGCAAAGAAACAGCAGGGCGCGTACAATCTTTTCGCGCAGCAGAACCCACCAGCCCTCAATTTCAGCTCCGACTCCGACGCATCGCCGTCCTTCGTCTCGTCCGACTACTACGCGATGATGCCGGACGACCAATTGGCCAATGGCATGGCTATGGCTCAGGCATCGCACTTCCCAGATCAACACAACACGCAAGGCCTGCCATTCCACTCCAATGTACCTGCAGGCGATCAGTACAACCATGGCTTGTTACAACCACAAGCATCAAATGACATGTTTGACAGTCCTCAGGATATGAATCGCCGAACGCTCACACAAGCCCAATTTGACGTGCTGGCTCAGCAAGCGCGATCCACGGGCCAGTTTGAAGCAATGCAGCATGATTTCTCTGGTGACGTCGAATTGATGAATCAGGTTTTCGGCACTCCGCACCAAGACGACCTCAAGCAGCAGCACGCATTCGCATTTCCAGCTCCCAGCGGTGCACCGCTCTCCAGCAACGACTCAAGTATACCCTCGACTGTATCTGAGCAATCCATGTTTCCATCCTCGACTGCCATGCAAGACCATGCAGCTTTGTCCACGACATCTTCTGATTGGAGTGATAGCCGCAGTTCGTCCGTTTCCGCACCTTACATACAGGACCAACCGTTCTCGTTTGTGACAGCTACTCACCAGCAGCCTGCAACGACATCATCGTCTTCGCAATGGCAGCCCGGCCAGTCTGTACCAGTGGATCCGAGCGATCTGCAGCGGCAGTTCACTGAGGCTCAACAACGAGCGCAGCAGCAACAGCAGCAGCAGCAAGCACATCAACAGCAGTACCAACACGAGCAACCGCTGGCTTTCCCCGCCGATGAAGCATTCATCCGCAGAGGCTCGCAAAGTGGAACAATGCTCGCTGAGCAAATGAGTGGATTTGCCATTCAGACGCCACAGCCGCCGCAAAACTCGTCATTTCAGACGCCAGCACCACCGCAGGCTAACGGTGCAAGTATTGCTGCACGTCGTCAAAGACCGCGGCCTGCTAATCTTGGTCCTGCCGCAATGCGAAGCCAATCTCATAGTGGTGCTGTCCAACCCGGATCACCCGGTCAGCCACAGCTTTCTCAAAATCTGGCGGCTCCTGGACAGCTGCGACGTATCCGATCTTCTAATGTAATTCATAATGGTGTTGCGCAAGGACGCGTGCAGAAGCCAATACCCGGCTCTGCTCAGCGTTCACCCATGGCCCGAACCTTTACCGAATCAGCTCTCAATTCTCCAAACGTAAATGCGACGACACGCCATAGCTCGACATCTTCAGGAAGTCTGGCACCGCCCACGCCGATGTCACCTAGCGATTTGCCACGCCAGGAGCAGCCGAGGCCACGGTGGCCACCATGGCAAGATCAAACCGGACAGTTCGGCCGACATGCGAGTATCAGCGAGTCTGACGCGGAAGATGGTGTTGCGAGCTCTGGACAGTCTCAAGCCGTGTCGTCACCCCCTCACACGCCCATGTTTCAGCAGCAGCAGCAGCAGCAGCAGCAGCAGCAAATTATGGCGCAAGGCCGGATTGGCAGCACGGTCATTACGGAGAATACCCCTCCACAATCTGCTCCAGCTGTTCAAACAAGCTTTCCTGCAAATGCTTTCATGCCGCAGACGCAACCCGTGCATGTTCAGCAGCAACCGCAACATGCATACATCCAGGCACAGGCTCAACAGTTCATGAATGGACAACACTTTCAATTGCCGCCTGCATACGCACCGGGACCTAATATGGCAATGCCTCCACCGGAGATGCACGCTGGTCTGCCCATGCAATTCACGAATGGAGTGCCCATAGTCAATGCACAAGGCGAGCTGACTATGGCATATCCTCCACAAATGCAACATATGCAATTTATGCAGCAGATGTCTGCGCAACAACAACAAATGGTGCACCCGGCCCATTACGGTTTCATGAGCAGCTCTGGCGCATCGCCTCCAATGCACGTCACGTCGCAGATGCCGAAACAGCCGTCGCAGCCTGCATCGGAACTGTTTGTGCACGAATATAGTCCCCCTTCGGACATCAAGCGAGCTGCGACACCACGGAGAACGCCTGGGGATTCATTACCGAAAACCTTCACGTTTGCTAATCACACACCTGAACATTTCGAGAAGGAAAAGATCAAGAAAGAAGCCAAGGCGTCCAGCACCGCATCCAGCAGTCCAGAAAGTGCTGCATCGAGCTCATGAGCGTGCTCTATTCCTTTTTGTCCACCATGCATAGCACACGGGTGTATAATGGCGTTAAGGGTCCTAGCGACGCATTTATTTCTACGATAACCATCATTAGCGACTTGGAGTACAAGGGGACTGGGAATTTAAAAATGACACTTAGGCGTCGAGATGATAGCCTCGCGTAATGTGTGGAGATGGCAGCGCATCCACGGCTGAAGAGACGGATACGAATCATTAATGAACACTAGCGAGAACTTGTAGTATAGTGCTGGAGCCCTGGACGAAAGGCCAAAGTTGCCTGATCTTTGACGGCTTTAATGTGAGGCGCGGAGACGCTCTCATCGATTTGAAACAAATACAATCTATGGTATAATATGAAATCCAAAATTTTCCATCAAAGTCATGATCCAAACGCCGCAGCAAAAGGCGGGTCTTCAAGCCGACGAAATACTGCAACAAACTTCTTCCCACCATTCCGCTCAACTTTCTTCCCTTCCTCCGTTTCCGTCCTCATCACACTCACACACACATCACCCTCCGTCTCCTCCTCCCCAACCCTCTCAAAACTCGGATGCGCCGCAAGATGCTCCACCATCCACAAATGCAAATCCTCCACATCCGTAATCGTATAAACCTTGCCACCAGCTTTCATGACAAACGCATACTCCGAATTCAACGTCGCGCTCACAATCCTCGCTTTATGCTTCCTCGCTTTGAAATGCGGGTCCGGAAAACAGAGAAATATCTTCTCTAGCTGTCCTTTTTCGAAGAAATTCGGGAGAAATTTCATCGTGTTGGCGCGGAGACATGAGACGTTTTGGAAGTCGTGATTCGTCGTGGAGCTGTGGCGGAGAGCGAGGATTTTGTCTTGCACGAATTTCGTGACGGATGTGCGGATTTCTAGGCCGAGAATTAGGTGGTTGGGGAGTTTGGGGGAGAGGGCGAAGAGGAGGCCGCCGAAGCCGCAGCCTATGTCTGCTACTGTGACTTTTTTTGTCGTTTCGGTGGAGGGATGTTGTTGACTGTTGTTGGTGGTGGCGAATTCTGGGTAGTGTTTACTCCAGTCCATTGCGGAGGGGGATTCTGGGCTTTGCGAAAGTGGTGAGATTAGTGGCGCTCTTTTTATTTGAAGTTCTCGGAAGTGAAGTCTTCTTACTATGTTAGGTCATGGTCGGAGAATGGGTTTGCGTGTGCTCTTTGGCGGTAGTATTTTTTCTGTGGTAATTCCCCTTCTTGCTTCTCTTCGCGCTTTTGCTTCTTCCTAGCTGGGCCGGCCATGTTGTGCAGGATTTCGGGTGAATGTGACGATTTTGTCAATTGAACAGAAGCATGTGAAGTTGAGTGGAAGGATTTAGCCAAGGATTCACAGTTTGGAAAGTTCATGCCTGAGGCAATAAATGAAAGCGTGTGGACTGGTCAAGTGGTTGTTTGCATGACGGAGGCCAGGATGGCATGAACAATTGTGATGACGAGAGGCATGAGATGAATGCCGTGAAAAGACTGCTAACATTTCTGGCCTAAACGCTCTCAATTGGAGTCCTCTCGTGAGACCTCCCATTCCGTATCCACCCTGATTATCATCCTTTGACTGCTGCTTGTCTCCAAGCTATTATCTGACATCCTCATGTTACCGCCACATGGGCCAGCATCTCGTGCTTCTATCTCAGTACGGGTGGTCCCTTCAAGTCCATGCATGGGAAGTCCAAAGTCCAAAGCATCAGAATCTTTGGTTTTCGTGGATGATCCGTGGTGGCGAGAGTTACCACTGCCTTTCCCCGTCCCGTAGCTTCCATCAGATCGTTTTGTCTTGAACGTAGAAAGAGGGAAGGAGTTTGAGCGCGCGCGATAGTCGCTGCCGCTGTACTCACTCGGTCGAAGAGCTCCATAGAAAGTCGTGAGATCCTTGATGAAGGGTCGAAGAATCGGCAGTGTGGTCGAGATGATGGAGAAATTGATTTGCGACACCGTCCAGATTATGTAAATGGTTGCCGTTCTCGCAAAGTTTCCGACATTCACGTCATTCCAGGAGTCTATACGAGCAGCGATGATGGCAACTATTGGAAGACGAAGGCCAAATGCGAACAGAACCACAACTTTCTTGTGAAGTTTCGTCTGCAAGCGCAATACCGGCAAGGCAGCGCAAGCAAATAGCCAGACTTCGAGAAGGGCGTCAAGGGCGCCGACTACCACCAGCCGCGCATAGACCCCACTACATTTGTTCGTTGCGAACGTCCAGGGCCTTCCAAGATTGCACTGAAATGCTAGTGCGAATGTTGCAGCCACCGTCCACAGGATTAAGACCCCGATGAAGACGTACAATATTCGTCTGATCAAGGTTTGCGGCGTTAATCTTATGATGAAGGTGGCGATCGAACATTTGCAGAGGCTCAGTGCGAGAATCGTGAAGAGCTGGCTTGTGTAAAATGACTGCTAATGATTAGCATTTGCAGCACTGTGAATGCAATATGCGACGGCAGCGATCACAAACGCGAAGAACATACCTTTTCAATATATCGTATACTGCTTAGGTCAAGCAAGCTCATCGATCGACCCAGTCCTCTAGCACAAGCCGCAAGTATTACACTTTCTTGGATGAATGCGAACATCTGGAGGCTCTTGCAATTAGAATATGTCACAGCGTCGAATCAATTGACGCACTCACCGCTCCAACAGCAAGCAAGAGATCGTCTATGCCTGCGCGCTGACTTGACATCCATTTCACGTAGACCCTGATCGCGATCGATAGCAAAGCAAGGGCAAGACCCAATGCGGTCGCAATAATGATCAAGCCGCCGTGGTCATCCTTTGTGATTATAGCGAATGGAGGATAGTAGCCAGCCGGAACTGTGAACTCCATCGATTGACCCATAACATAGCCCCGGTATCAAATATGTACAAACGTGTGGTTGGAGCTATTACGCCGTCCAAATCGATGCAGGACTGAGCAAGAGCGTCGGCAGAGTCTCGTCCAGCCAGATGTAGTAGTCGAAGGTCGGGAAGGTTTGACAACCTCGCGGCCATGGTCATCAGCTCGTAATTCCCTGTACCTTGCCAATCTTAGATTCCACGCCCAATCTCAAGAACCAGCTACGACGCAATGTGCCGGCATGCTGTGGCACGAGTCGAGGTTGTCAGTCTTGTGATGAATGGGCTGTTCTGAAAACGTCTTGCGGTCGAACGAACCGGCCGAGTATATGCTGAGCAGCTTTTCGCTGCGCACTGTCAGACAAGCGTGCAGTAGAGTGTCGAATATGGGCTGAGTAAGTCCCGGCCCGCCGCGCATTGTCACGGCGTGCGATCCATCCGGCTCCGTGCATGCGAATTGCCACGGTCAGATGATGATGATTCGCTCCCAGATTCGAGTTTCGCAACATCATCACGCCGCGAACACAAATTACACAGGATACATCCCGGCAAAGACATCACAGCGGAGCTTGGCGAAGAGGCGGCGCGGTCAATTCAAAGTTCTCGTAGTCTGCCGCCCGAAGAGGGGACCACAGGGGATACAGCCAATATATCGGATGGTATCGATGCACCATCAGCCCACAGGCGGGAAGCGAGTGATGAAAAAAGACAAGCGTGTGAATGCAGCCATGCAGCTCGATGCCTCTGGCTTATCACCGAAGATGGAGCGGCACTTGGCGGCAGCAGGGTGATGGCGACCTGACGACTGACGACTGACGACTGGCGACTGACGACCTCGTGGCCAAAGGCATGGCAGTTGCTTCTCGTGCGCCGTCTCCTGATGCAATGGTTCGCCCAGCTGCAGTTCATCACTCTGGAACCGTATTGCTTGTCGCAGAACTTTCGTGACGGCCTGCGACTCTGCATCAACACGCCTGCTGCGTCTGCCACATTGGTCGGTCGGTCCCGGCGCACATGGTTACAGGCTGAGCGACGCACACGTGCTCGCGCTTATCTCTTACCTTCACACGGTCGATGTGACCTTGGCTCGAGTTCTCCAGATCGATTCGAAGGCTGTTCACAATGCAACAAACGCAGGCCTCCGATGTGGTCGGCGAGCCACAACTCACCATGGAAGAAGCGATGAAGATGGAGGACAAACTTAGCGTTTTGTCACCGTCCGTGGCACCCAAATATCGAGGAACCTCTACCGACCAGAATGACATGATGACGCTCGGCAAGAAACAAGTGCTTAGGAGGAACTTTCGTTTCGTTACTATGCTGGGGTTCGGAAGCACGGTAAGTGAATCTGGGGAGTGTATGTGGATGCTGGCGAGATTGTCTCTCAATATAAGCTCCAATGTCTCGGATGCAGTGGACTACTACAGTGGTCTCCTGCGAAAATGTCCGAGTCCTGAGAACATATATCTCGACATGCTCGCCAATGAATGATGTACCCTTCCTTTGACTAGAAAAGTGATCAACACTGACTCCCTGAACTTTTCAGGTCATTTGCAGCTGGGAGGTACTGCTTCCAGTCTTCACATTCGTGCTTATCGATGGAGGCTATGGGGCTTTGTTCTGGGGCTTTATTGCTGTAACCATTGGAATGCTCCTCGTCTACGCAAGTCTGGCAGAAATGGTATCGATGTGAGTGTGCTGCACGCCTCGCCCTACTAAAGTTTAGATTGACAGTGCCAGGTGTCCCACTGCTGGTGGTCAATATCATTGGGTCTCTGAATTCGCTCCTCCCAAGTATCAAAAGTTCCTGTCCTATGCCACTGGGTGGCTATGTGCTACGGGCTGGCAAGTCTTCCTAGCCTCTGTGGCGTTCATGGTTGGCGGAATCATTCAAGGTAAGTGGATGTAAGACTAATTGGATTCTGACTGACGAGCCAGGTCTGATTGCCCTCAACAACCCTGACTATGTCTTCGAGCGGTTCCATGCAACCCTGCTCTCCATAGCTATCATTTCCTTTGCTGTCCTCTTTAACACCGTCTTGGCGGTAAGACTCCCGCTCGTGGAAGGCATAATCCTCATTCTACACATCGCTGGCTTCTTTGGAGTTTTCATCCCACTCTGGGTTTTGGCTCCGAGGGCGCATTCGGACATCCTCGTAAAATTCACGAACGATGGCGGCTGGCCAACGACTGGCATCGCTGCCATGATTGGCCTGACAACCCCTCTGACAGCTCTTATCGGCTATGATTGCTCGGTTCATATGAGCGAGGAACTTGTCGATGCCTCATACAGTATGCCACGTGCCATCATGTGGACTGTCGGTCCCAATGCAGTGCTCGGGTTCTTGATGGCTGTCACGCTCTGCTTTACTGCCGGAGATCCCGCCGCGCTTCTCGAGACGCACACAGGACAACCGTTCATCCAGGTCTTCTACAATGGCACCCGCAGTCTTTCTGGAGCGACCGTAATGTGCGCGATCGTTGTCGTGTGCTTAACCTCTTGCTGCATCAGCGAAGTTGCCACAGCCTCTCGACAGCTTTGGTCCTTCGCTCGTGACAACGGACTGCCGTTCTCAGCGTGGATAAGACATGTCACGCCTGGCTGGAATATTCCTTTGCGATCGGTATTGGTGTCGTTTGTCATCACATCACTGCTTGCTTGCATCAATCTCGGATCGACCACTGCACTGAACGCTATCAACTCTCTGGGTGGAGTAAGTGTTCTTGGCAGTTATTTCATCACCATAGCTTGCCTTATCTGGAGGCGGCTATACGGTGATCCCCTGCCACCTCGACGTTGGTCGCTTGGCAAATTCGGACTGCCGATCAACATACTCGCTCTGCTTTTCCTGGTACCACTCTGGTTCTTCTCTTTCTGGCCTTTAGCCCAACCCGTCACAGCGCAAAGCATGAACTGGAACAGTACGATGTTCGGAGGCATGATAATAGTATCCTTGGCATACTACCATCTATGGGGCAAGCAGGTGTACACAGGGCCAGTCGTGCTTGTAAAGCGAGATGTGTAGACAGTATCAGAAAGCAGAAGTTCAGTTCCGTCGATTCACTTCGGATGTGCATTCATGTTCTCGTGGATAGATCCGTTAAGCACTGTGGAATTGTGGGTGCCTCTTGGCAGCCTCAGCCTCGCTCGGTTCAACCTTGAAGGAATACTTGCGTCATCTCCGCTTGACCCCAAACGCCGAACAACAGCGAACGACATCACATACCCGTCTAACAGCATCCATCATGGTGAGAAGAAGAGAGGAAGACAGCAGCACTAGCAAAGATCTTACAAGAAGCAGGCGCCGAAGAGGAAGCGCGAAAAAGTGGCAAATGTGCCGCTCTCGGACGCTTCAAAACCAGCCCCAACGAGCACTCCTCGAAACACCAAGAAAGCAAGGCTGTCAAAGGCAGCCGTGTCCGAAGTCAAGACCACCAGGCCAGCGAGGAATTCCGGAAGCGCAAAATCACCTCGAAGTGTGCCGGGTCCGGTGTTAGTCGAGCAGCCATGCCACTTGCTCCAACTTCCAGCAGAGTTGAGAAACCTGATCTACTCCAAAGTCCTCGAAGACTTTCCAGCCTACTTACACCCACACAACAACGGTCGCTTAGTCTGCGCCTCGCGCCTTCTCGGCGCAAATCACCAGATCCGGAGAGAACTCCTCTCGGAACTCTACCTGACAGCACCAATCTACGCCCAAGTCTACGATTGGAACTTCAACCACATCGTCTCCTTCCTCAACAAACTCTCCACCTCCGAATTCAAAAGCTTGCCCAGGAAAATCTACCACCACCAAAACCCTGCAAAAGTCGTGGGCAGAGAAATGAACGTCGAACTCGTCCTGAGCACATTGTCTCGAGACGAATATGCTTTCTTACGTTCTACTGCTTTGGACCGCGCTCCGGATCTCGAGAAATGGATTCGAAGGATGGTGAAGAAGGATAAGAGGAGGTTGCCCACTGGTGTTAGGTATAAGGTGACTTGTACTAATGCTGATCGGTTCCTGAATCTTGTAACGCTGAGGTGTTGGGAGAGTTATTTGGGAGATTTGAGGACGACGTTGTATGAGAATGCGAGTCGCGGGAGGCAGGAGATTACGGCTCTGAGGGTGGCGGTTCTGGAGGAGAACAGGTCGATTTTGACGAGGATTCTGGATTCTTTTCAGAATGGAAGGTGATTGGGAGTTCAGCGTGGGACTGTGGTATCGGTATCCATTGTGTGATATGCGTCTGAGCTTAGGCCTTGGCATAGAGGTCATCAGAACCTGCCACCCGCGTGTGGAGGGGTGGGGAGCATTCGTTTGCTCCTCGCACGAAGCCCTTGCCTTTTGGCGACTCACACGATAGAATAAAATTCACTACACTTACAAGATTGCGAAGGAATATCCATGACTTCGCTAAGCCTCCCAATAGGTGCATCTCGCTCGTGAAAGATGCTTTATGTAACCTTTGCTTCATGAACTGTGTGTCCAGCCGCGGAAAGAGTATACACCGGGCATGTACTGTACAGATAGTCTCTCCAACATCAACCGTGTCTCATGCCCGAGCATATTCATCAGCATCTATCGTTTCGCCTCGTCGTTGAGCCAAATATATTCGTCCACTTTCATACACTCCAAGATAAAGTCCACTTCCAAGCATGGTCCAAACACCTCTCAGAGCACCACCTCGAAAAAGACCTTTGATCCCTTGCTCAGCCATAATCTCCCTTGCAATCTGCAAACTCGAGCTCTTGCCCTTAGGTTGAACAGCCTTCTTGATCGCTTTCAAAGGATTCTGCTTGACCGTCTCAATCGTCTGACCCGTAGCATCCACAAGAGCATCTTTCGCAGCCTTGGCACTCTCTTTCGCCGTAGTATCACGACCACCCTCATGCGGAGCAGCACTTTCCACAGCCCTCAACATCAACCTCGTCTTAACCACATCCACCGGCGTCGTAATCACCGCAGCAATACTCCCACCCGTCCCAGCACTCACCGCCGTAATCACCCCACTCTCCAAAAGCGTATTCGTCCGAATACCCCTCTCATTCCTATCCCTCCGTATCGCCTCTTTAATCCTCTCAAACATCGGAAACTGCATCGCGGTAAACGGCAGATTCCTGGCAGCCAAAGCAGAATATCCGCTCCACAAGGCCAAAGGATTCGATCGAAATCTTTTGATCGTTTGCATCGTGGCATTCACCCTTGGGCGATCTTTATTCGAGTTATCCACCATTTGGGCATTCTGTTTAATCACCTCGGCGGGAGTGAGGATCGCACAAGAAACCAATTCCGCGGTCCCGCTCGCAGCTGCGTGGATTAAAGGCGTGGGGACGAAAGGTTTGTTTCCATCATATGTAGGATTGACATCTGTGAGGACGGATTTTACGCCTTCGTAGGTGGTGAAGAATGCGCCGGAGGAAGGTAAGGTGGCTATGATGACACTTCCGATGCCTTGGTAGACGCCACGGAACATGGCAGGGTTGAAAGCGGTATTTGTGCCATTGCGGTAGAGTTTGGTGTAGTCGGGGGATTGGAGGCGGGTTTTTATTGTGTCGAGGGGGTAGACGATGAGGTCGACGGTGAATGCTGCGAATGCACCTGCGATCCAGATGTCTGCATTGCTGTTCTCGGACATCTAAGAATGTTTTGATTCCTTCCCTCTCCCACACCTCGCGACCTCTTTCTATTCCCTGCTGGAATGCTTGAAACGATCTGATAAAAAAGTGTCGCGCGCGGGATCGAAGCTGGCGATGACGAGTGGGATGAGAGGAATGGCACAGTATCTGACGATCTGATATAGTGTGCCGGTCTCGGGTCCGATCCGATGGTCCCTGTATGCCGAGGCTTCGCTTCGTCCTCACCTCAGCGCCAGTGGAGGATGCAGGATGCGTCGATGCAAGCACAGGTATTCATTCCAATATGATACAAGCAGCTCTGCAGCGAGCCACACACACAGCTCTAATACACACATAGAACAGCGCTACGCAGTTCGAGGCCGTCCGTCTACCCTTCTACCTTCGTGCCGTGTGCTCTGTCTTCTCGATCCATGCTAAAACCTCTGAAAGACCCATTCGCAAGCAATTTGACAACCAGTGCCCATGATCACCTTGTCAAAGTAACCTTGTCGTGCTTTGAGCCAGAAACCCGCTGTGCTCCTTTTGCGCCTAATGACGCCGATGCTGATGCAGAACCTGATGCTTTTAAAAAGAACCGCGCCATTTCTCACGCTCAATCCATATCGCACATTATCTACTTCATGTTCAGACAAACTGCCGGACTGCCGTTGCCGCACGAATTACGAGTCACGATGCATAGGATAAAACGTACCTTTGATGTCTTGCTCTTTTCACTCTTTCGTTGGTGGGGACTGCGCCTGGCCACGAACGCCTCCCAGCCACGAAGTCGAACCACCCTCTGGATGGGGCATCTTCATCTTGCCGAAGCCGAGGTCGAGGTCGTTGATGATCTTGAGCGCGTTGCGACAGCGCAGATGTGGCAGAGGTGCCTTGGCTTCCTGCAAACCAGTGACTGGCTCCAAACTGCCGCGCGGAGTGAGCTCCTTGTCCTCATGCTCGCCTGGCATTGGCAGAGCGTTCTGGAGGACTTCGTATGCCGCCAGCGTGAAACCGAACTGTGGGGAAGATCGCATGATACGGGCAGGACCTCCCTTGAAAAAAGCCTTGAAACCCTCCTCTCTGAAGACCTTGCGAGCACAGTCCGGAATGTTCTTGTAAGTGGACTCGCCCTTGCGAGCCTCAACCTGCAGACGAGTCTTGATCACGTCTGCCGGCGTGGTGAGGTAGGCAGCTGGCATACCGGCGATTGCACCAGCCGTGAGGAGATGCAAGACACCCAGCTTCTTCTCTGGTGACTCTCCAAAGAAGTCCTTCTTCAGATGTGCGTAGGCCGGGAAGTATATGGATGAGAACGGGATATCACGCAACAGACATGCTGTGGCGCCCTTGTAGAGACCTGTGAGACCCAGATTGCGAATGATCCAGGCAGCCGAGCGCTTCTTAAGCTGCTCGCCTTCCCGAGCCGCCGCGCGAATAGCCTCTCCTTGCACCTGGAGTCGAATCTTGACAATTTCGAGTGGGTTGGTGAAGACGACTTGGCAACCACCTGCAGATCCACCAGCCATGATCTCAGCCCAGAGAGGAATACCACCATCCTTGCTGGTGAACTTGCCACGGACGAGGTCGTTGACTGTAAGTTTGATAGCCTTCTCAGGAGCGACGCCGACAAGTTGAGGCAGGACACCGGCGTAGAGGCCTTTGAAGCCCTCGTTGCGGATGATCTTCTGTGCGCAATCTATGCTGTTCTTGTAAAGAAGTTGACCAGCAGTAGAGCGCTGATTCTGCATGCGTGTCTTGACCAGGTCGATAGGGTACACCATAAAAGCACCGAAAGCACCTGCCAGAGAGCCAAGAGCGAAGTGGTGCGCGGACACCAGGATATCGTGAAGGAAGCTCTGGGACTTGACAACAGCCTTCTGGGCGATGTCGGCGACACCACTGGCAGCGTCATCGAAGCCTGGAGCACTGCCGTGCCAGCTTGGGTCGATCACCCGGGCAAAGTCTTCTCGGCCAAGGCGTCCGGATGGCTGGTCGAGAGATGCAAAGTGGAAGAGGATGTCGGCCTCCATTGGTGTGAACTGAGTGAAGCGAGTGATACGCTGAGCCTCGTCAAGGAAGTCGACACGAGTGATCTTGCCGTCAGATGACTTCTTGAGAGCACTGCGAACGATGAACTCGACCAGATCCATCTCCCTAATGATGTTCTGGAAGGCTCGGACATTGGCGTAGGAGATGCGCGAGCCAGGTGAGATGTTGCACAGGGTTGGCAGGTTCTGGAGCAAGTGATCGGAGAGCTTGTGGGAGGCTGTCTCCATGATGATGCGCTGGAAATCTTCCGGCTCAATGTAGCCGTCGCCGTTCTTGTCGAGGTGAAGGAAGGCCTGGCGCACGCGTTCACCCTGCAGACCGCGCAGCATCTGGGCGAACTGAGGATAGGTCATGGAGTGACGGTGGCGCTTGCCGCCCAGATACAGCTTCGCCCAGTCGCTGTCCCAATTGAAAGGGATGGTATCGCTTGTCTTGTTCTTGGCGTATACATCTTTGAAGGTATTGAAGTCCACCACGCCGAGGTTCTTGTCTGCGAATAAGCGAAATGCGATCTCATATTCCGCGTCTGGCTTTCGCAGCAGGTTGTCGAACACAGACCAATCTTGAAGGGTGACTCGGTTCTTGCCAGCACGGTCGGCGATGGTGAAGAGAAGTGCGTACTGCTCGCGCTTGATTTTGTGCTAGAACAAGTGTCAGCTTGACACGGTGGATGTGTGGGAGCGCGTGATGGGCAGTGCCAATGCCTCACACACGCTCGCAGGTGAGGCAGGTGATACTCACATAGTCTTCGCCCTCTGGCGCAACGGCATTGACGAACTCCTTTTCAGTCATGTAGTATTCTCCGGACTCTTCATCTTTGACGGCGTGTGACATGAAATAACGGCGAGTCTGCTGAGAGAGCTGAGGCTCATCGTCCGTGCCCAGTAGAGTCTCCTTCACGCCATCCTTGACCTTCTCGACCGTGCCTGAGACGGCCTCCATGATCTTGAGCTTATGACACTGCAGCGCGGAAAGCTGCAGCTATGCGTCGCCGCGGTAGGTATAACGATGCGAGGGATGAGGAAGCGAGCGACGCGCGTGAAGTGAAAGTGAAGTGCGGTGGTTGCGATGCGATGCAATGCGCTGGTAGAGTGGCCGTCGCCGCGCCTGCTTCGAAGTTGATGCTAGTGAGAGCGCGACAAAAAGTAGCGGGTGCGCACAGGGCACTTGCGATTGCGGCGACCCACCGCCGTTGCCGACGGACTCTGAGGAAGGCGCGGAGATTTTTGGGGAAAGACGGAAAGAGGGCGCAACTCGTTCTCGAGACGTGGAAGAATTGGAAGAGATATATTGCGACCAGCGAGGCAACAATGTGAACTTCACAATGCGTTTCAGACTCTCACCTATCAAGTGAACTTCTGCCAAACTTTTTTATGCAGGTGAGCCTTGGCATGATGGCAATGGCCAGGGGGTCTTTAATGCTACGCAATGCCATTGTCGGGATGATTCCTCCATTGGGATGCTCTTTTCCTCCAGCAAGGCACAACTTGCTCGGTGCTGTCACTGCATCTGCATCGCAACAAGAGTCTACCACGAAAAGTGGCTTCTGATGGCTCCGCGGGAGTGGTGCCTGAATTCGGACTGACTCGGTGTACCAACTAACAACGCAAGCGCTTGGTATGGAGACCGTCTTCTGAGTGAGCAATGAAATTGAACTGAACACATCCTCTGCACGACTCACAGTAGGACGTTGGTCTTGTCAGTGGTCTGGAGAGAAGCTTTCGGGCGTCAGATCCACCCACCCGGTCGACACCGCGTTTCGAGGCGATGCCTTGTCGATGCCTGTGAGTACAGCTGCAACTTGAGGACGTGTGATGGACGCGAACAAAATGGTCCCTGCAAGGCTGGACAGGTCGATGGCTGCATAGGACGCAGAACGTCGCATTCGTGCTAGCATTTAGCTCCTTTTCTATGCCAGGGTGCCTTCGTAGGCGTAGCGGAGTATAGACCACCCCATCTGGCTACGCGATGCAGCATGACCACCCGGTATTCTATCATGGCAATATTATACAGTACTGCGGCAGCATCCAACTGCTCCTGGTACACCAACCTCACGCTGTATCCATATTGTCCTGGTCGTCCTTCTTATCGTCCTTTTTCGAAGAGCTGCCGGACCCACTCGGCTCTCCATTGCTCCCCAGCAGCGGCTGGCTCTCACTCGCCTCGCCTTCCGTATTCTCGGCTACGCTCTCAAGGTTTGTCTTGCCTTCTGCCTCTTCCTTCGCCTTCTTCTCACGCTCTTGCCGCTCTTTCTCCTCCTCCATACTCATACGCAGCACAAGCGCCAATTCAGGATCCAGGTTCGGGTCAACACCAAACTCGAAGTCATTGCCTCCTGCCTGGCCTGCATCACCTCCTCCATTTGCGGCCGCCGCGCCACCCTCACCAGCGAGGATCGGTGAAGCGACGATAGTGTCTGACAGAAGGTTGGGGCCTGGAGGTATGATCTCCAGATGCGATCCGTCGTTCGACTTCACAGCTTCATTGAATGCGCGTAGCTTGTCGAGGTTCTCGTCCGTAAGATCGCCAAACGCGATGATGTCGATGCTAGTATTGTTCTTCTTCATTCGCTTGGCGAGCTTCGTGAGTGTGCTGGATGAGTCGGCGATCGGCGAGCACGTGAATACAATTATCCGTTGCCGTTGCGATTTGTTTTGGCGATGCTTGAGTGCGAGCTGTATAGCGATTAGTTCCTGTGTATATGTACGGTGTCAGACAGTACCCACTGAAGCAATCATGATTCCCGTGTACAGATGTGACTCTCCCTTGACCTTCGTCCTGTGCAGCCCATCAAGTATCTTGCCGGGATTGGTTGTGAGCGTGGTAAGGACTTCGGGACCGCTTCCACCCATGCTCATCAGTCCAACTGATGATTCTGGATTTGCTTGCGTCTTGGAGTGAAAGATGAGGTTGACAGCATCGACTTGAGCCTCCCATCGCGATGGCACATAGTCACCGTTTCTGCTGCTTTCGCTGTTGTCGACGCTGACATCAAGTTAGCTGTGGTCGAGGCGTATGGATACGCACGTGAGGCGGCCTACACGATCATCGTCGCCTCCAGCACCATCTTGGCGGTATCGTCTGAATTTCTCGCTTATCTGTATGGCTGGTGGTGTTGGAGCTGATGAAGGCCGAGTGAGCAGTTCTTGGGAGGCAGTTGGCTACTCGTTGTTGCTGCGATGAAGTGGCAGAGATGCGTAGGCAAGCGCAGACGCAAGTGAAGGTCGAGCGAGCTCCGATGCGGCTCAGCGGCCCGCAACCGCATGCTCCGTTGAGGGGGAACTGGAGAGCTTCAATCAAAACAACCAATAAACACAGGACCAAGAAGTCGCATATTGGTCATCAACCTGCCTCAAGCGCACATATTCGGGACAAGACAGAGGGATAATAAGAGCATATTAAAGGCATGCAAGTCTCGATGCCTTACGCCCAGCATACGATTCTGCGAAATACATCAGCGTCTTCGAACGAAAGCATACCAGACTTCCCAGTACCTCCGAGCCAAACAGCGACTATGCAGACAGAAACACGCACACCGGAACGCAGTCCAGCGAAGAGAGTCGCCGGGATAACACAGACGCAAAAGCAGGCTTTGATTGACAACCTGCAATTGGAGGGTATGGAAACCTATCGCGTTGAACTTGAGACGTACTAACGCGTAGATAGTAACGGAAAGAGCGCGCAAACTACGAGCACAGTATGCACTGCAGGCACAGGGTCTGCGCGCGCGTCTCGAGATGCGTGTAAATCGTATCCCACAGGCATTGAGAAAATGCAACATGCAAGATCTTGTCGAGGAGCATACAGCCAAATCGCATCCAGCTCCGCCTCCGCCTATGCCAGTCGCAACAAAGCCACAACCAGCTCCAGTCGCGGCTTCAGCGAAGGTCGCTGCTAAGCAATCTCTCAAGAGAAAGAGGTACGGCTTGTTCGTGTTGACGCCGAGAGATCGTGTTCTGACCTTTCGATAGTGATGAAATATCCCCTGGAGATGATAAAGAGAATGTACCTTCAGAGCAGCAGGACATTGCGAATCCGAAGAAGCGGACCAAGACGGCTACAGTGACGGCTAATACAAAAGCCACAAGAAGCCGAAATGCTGGTCCGGCAGGTGTGCTCTCGCCTAGATCGCATAACTCGCGAAATCTGCCTCAGTCGCCAATCAAGCCAACAGGAGGCTTGACAGAGAAGGCGCCCATGATGCGACCAGCGAATGGTGTTCAAGCCGTGGTCACGAGGGTTACGAGAGCTCCCAGCCGCCAGACGAAACGACCTGGAACCGCGCAGGAGTCGGATGGAAGGGCAAGCGAAGGCAGCACAACCAGCGCCGGGACCACTATTGTCTCGAAGCCGGTTACCAGGAAAGCAGCGGCGCCGAAGAAGACTGCGCCGGCGAAATCTGTCGCGGGCGGCCGGAAAGCTGCGGTAACAAAAGCAGAGCCGGCTGCGGCAACCCGGACTTTGAGGAAACGGAATTGACGATGATTTGCATGACCACCGACCTATTTCACTATATTCTGATCGCTCAGTCTCTGCTTGGATGTTTCACTCACTAAGATCGCTTACAGCCAAGTCGCGCCGTGAGATCGCGCTTTGTTCGCAAAGCACTTCATTCACGCACAACGTGCTGATGATGCTGGTCGAGTGGTTTTTTGTGATTGTGGGCAGCCAATTAAGGATGCCGAGGACCCGTTCTTCGGTGCGTTGAAAACTTCCTGGACAGCGCCGTGGTATGTTCTGGCGGAGGATGTGAGCATTACGCGGATTGGTCGTACCAAGCTTCACGAGGCTTCAAACTCAATTGTCTGGGCAGCAATACGGAACTTCGGCCATTCATGTACTTCAGACCATCATGAAATCCTGGGTCTGCCATGATGAACAGATGGCGGAGGCAGCGGACATGTCGAAATCTCGATTTGGGCACAGTGACCATAGGCACGGCCACTGGCAAGCTCAATATGGGGCTTTGCACAGCCGATCTTAGGTCATTTTGTTCCTCGCTGACTGCTGCGAAACTTGCGTTGCGGAAACGTGTCTAGAATCAAATGTTTCTGAATCTTGCTCTGCAGACCGGCAGTCCTTGCGACGTCAGATTGTCACTGTCATCAACAAGCATTGTACGTGTTCCGATAATCCAGGAGATGAGTCCACCTGCTTGCTGCATTTGAACCTCTCGAGACCACGTGGAGGACAACACCGACCGAAGATCTGTGGACAAAGGAGACAGAGCTGCTGTACATTGACTCTGCAGCACAAGGCACAATGTCGGCTGCCAGTGGCACTCCTGCACCGCTGCATCAGACTCCACCTTACGCTAGCTCCAGCGTGTATAGCGACTCGCAGCAAAGTGGTGAAAAGAGTTCTAGTTCGAGCGAGCAACCTGCGTCCCGATCGACCAATTTGACAGATCTAGAAGACATCTCGAGTAAAGATGCCTCCAGCGAGAAACGCGAGACAGTCAACCATTACCAGAGCAAGGCAGCGAAGGCAACAACCACTACAAACCATGCATCCGCTGCCAACGCCTCGAATTTGCATTGCTCAGAAACTGCGGTACTGCATCGCCAATCTGCATCGACTTCTGCTTCGGGCTCAAATATCAAATACAAAGACTCGGTTGGCGCACGGCCGCGACAGGTGATCAGCCACGGATCACATGGAGCAGATAGAAGCCGGTCGATAATTTCAAGCTCGAGATCGATATCTCCTGAAATGTCTCGCTCCGCAAGACTTGTTGCACAATCTTCAAATACGCGTGATAGGCTCCCAGCTCGAGCGAAAGGGGTGCACTCTCCTACCGGATCATCCAATTCGAACAAGGGCTCGAGACCAGAAGGATCAATCCTCGTCAGGACGAGAACTCCGGCACCTGCTATACGGCATGCCAGAAGAGACATGCAATTCAATTTGCCATGTGCTGCACGGCCAGATGTTAGCGAAGAGATGAACAGATCAAGGCTCCGAATCAGTGGTGGCTCCATCGAGAAGACGTCAAGGACCAATGCTCGGTTAAGGCAATTGTTGGGCACAGTATCGAATCACAAGAACTTGCACTGGAATCAGCAAACGCTGTGTGATCTCAGTTCGGTGCTGGACCTGCCTGCACCAACGAATCAACAGGAGTATGAGACGCTGAGAGCGCTCATTAAAACAGCACAGAGGGCCATGGGGCTGTACAATCTGGACAATAGTCACCCGTCCCATGACCAAGCAGATACTCGGCGGTCGATGGTCTTGGGAGATGTGAAGAATGACTACTTGGAACCCAAGGGCAAGGCTGGTCTGGCCAACCTGAAACCCAACATAGCCTACTTCAGCCATCAGTCCATTCCCGACATGAGAACGCCGAATACTGGCACCAATGACAAAGCTCGGCGTACCCCCAGGCTGTCATACAGCTACCGCGGCCCACTCGACCTCACATTCGCATCAAGAGAACCATGCCTTGAGGGGCTACCGCCGGCAGGAGTCCCCTTTGTCAACTCAGATGAGACGCGGACAAGGTCAGATGTGAATCGCATAGGGCGGTTCAGTGATGACTTTCTCCTGCTAGAGACGCAACTCGTGCCATCTCGAAGCATTTCATCGGCTAGAGGGTCTCGGCGTCGACGCTGGTCGATTTCTGAAAGCAGACCGCTGGCGTTCAGTTACAAGCTCGCAAGTACCAAAAATGCCGGTGATGGAGGACCTTCTAGAACGGTCGCTCCCATTCCCACGCCGTCTCTGGCCTCAGGGCCTTCAATGGCTGATCATTTGCCGACTCGATCAAGCGCTGGCTATGCCGCGCCTTCCCGATCACCTGTGTATGGCGGCGAATCGAGTTGGCGTGACTCTAAGCTGGACTTGAAATCAGATGGATGGAGTGTCAGGACGCCTTCTGTCAAGAGCACAGCCACGGACTACTGGAATAATATATACAGCAGCAATTCCATGCCTGCACACCTCGCACATCTTGCACGTTCTTCACTGTACGCCGAAGTGGCAGAGCAGCCTACCCACGAGAATAGGACGAGCGATATCATTGATTGGGCGCAAGTGGCGAGAAGTCCATCACGTGCTAGCGAGAGCGGTCACTCCGAATTCTCGTTCGCTCCCTCACAAGCGAGGGAATGGGCAGGACATGCGAGAATTGAGGGTCAGAGTGGGCAGCGTAGACGGCCGCCTTCTGAAGCCCAACAAAGCACATCAAAGGCAATGCAGTCGCCAAAGCTGACTGGCGCTCTGAGACGCCTTTTCACGCACCGATCCGTTTCGAGATCAGATGATACCCGACGTGTCGTACACAGCGCCCAGGTCGACGACGAAACGACTCCGCCCAGTCAGCACGGCCGAGAGCAGATTGATGTTGGGCCTGATATCGACGATCCCGAAATCGAGCTCATTCCGAGAGAGCTACCCAATTCACACGAACGGCCGATGTCGTGTGTGTCAAGCGCTTATATAGATAGCATGTTCCAGATGGCAGGCGGGAGTCTTGCGCCCGATCAGCATTTTGAGAACAGTCAAAAGCATCGTGTGCCTACGAGGACGAGCTCGATACGTTCTTGGTGGTTCGGGAGGCTTGACCGCCCTTGAGAAGCACTGGGAAGATTCGGGGATTACGAAGCGTATGGTATGTGCGATTAGAGCCAACGGCATAGGGTTGCGTGCCCGTATTGGTACGTACTACGCCGAGGGTTCGGAAAACGGAGAAGCGGTGATAGCGTTCTATCTACAGTTGTGAGAGACGGTAGACGGTAGACCACGAACGGTAGATCTCATCTCCGAGTCCATAATAATCCATTACGTCATTCCGAACATCCACTCTCGAAGTAGAAGGAAGCGATACTCACAGCATACATACGCACTTGCCTATGCTATGGCGTCGCGTCGTTGTTCGCGGAAGTAGCATTGCTTGCCCGTCGCTTGCCGCCACACAGACAACACCCCGCGCGCGCCTCCTGCACAACAGAGCGGCAGTGAGATCGTCTCTGCTGCCTCGATGGATCAATCGCATCACAACCCGACTTCTCGGAGACGCAGACACTCATCGCCGTGCCAACATCATGGGTAGGGCCAAGACGCAAGTCGCTCATGGAGATCTCCTGGCTCTGCAGCAAATGCTGGGACTGCGGCCAGCAAATCTGATGCCAGCTTCTCTGCAGAATGCTGTGATCATATGTGTCGATTGCGAGGCCTTCGAGTTTGATCAGAATAAGGTGACAGAGGTTGGGATCTCAATGTTTGATACACGGCACGTGCCAGAGGTGACTTCACGCAGCACATGAACACTAACGTCTCACGGCTAATGTTTGTGGCATAGACGGTGACTGAGGCTTCGAAAGACGCCTTGTTCTCCAACATCGTTTCCTCACATTATCGCATTGCGGAATATGGTCATCTCCAAAATAAGCGCTACTCGAAAGGCAACCCGGACGCGTTTGCTTTTGGAACTAGTACATGGGTCGGTCTTGCGAAAATCACCCGTTCTCTGTATCATGTCTTCGAGCATGCGGCCAAACTTCCTGCACCTCTTACTGGGCTACGGAAAGTTGTTCTCGTCGGCCATGCGATCAAGAACGACCTGAACTATTTACGAAAGCTGAACTTTGATGTTAATGACATCGCACACGTCGTCTTGAAACTGGACACGCAGACCATTGCTGTTCCTAGGAAGAGGCAGATGGGCCTGGCCAACCTGCTTGAGGCGTTGCAAATTGTGCCGGGCCACAATCTACACAACGCCGGCAACGATGCTGCGTACACCTTGCGAGCCTTGCTGGCTATTGTAAGTAGAGTGATCCAAGGTTCAAAAATGCCGACTGATACAGTACAGGCCATAGGCGAACACGCTGATCCCGGAAGCACCCTCAGAAAACTTAACGCAGTGACTGTGAAGCCCACGACCAAAGTCAACCGCAAAGTCGAAACATCGAGGGCCTCCACTACAGGGCACAAAATCCCGTCAAATGCCTCAAGCAACGGCCTGCCTACGAGGCCTTCATGGATACCGATGCCATCCAAGAGCAGATTTGCTGCTTCCCAACAAAACGACGATACCGACCATTCGTCTACAGAGTCCAGAAAGAGACCTTTCACGTCTGCACAAGTTGATGAAGCTTACGAAAGTGACTCGTCGCAAAACAAAAAGCATGAGAAGTCGAGCGGTGACTGAAGTAGCTACGAGTTGTTCCACTTGATGCGCTAGAGATGAGATAGACAAGTCTGCAGCGCATCTCGGGGTCGGAACGCGCACCTGTCATCGACTACACATTTAGGGAGGACTGAGCCTGTCCTGTCAAAAGATCCCAGGACGGCCACATCCAGAATGTCTCAACGCCTGGGTGCTTCCGAATCCCCTTCGGGTATCCACGTCAATCTGTCTCTGGCTTCAACACTCCGCCGTCCGGGTTGTTGCAGGTCGACGGACTTTCAGCCGGACTGATTTGCGAAATTAAAAGGACCAGGGTATGGCTGGATACCCAGTTCATGCCATCGGGGCTCCTCCTTTACCGAAGACGCACGTTTTGGATGGGCATGACTAGGAACAACGGCGTGATCGAAGGGAACAATATGACTACATGCAGTCACATGTGAAACATTTTTTGCCAGCATGAGCCACTCGGTCCTTTCGTATCAGTTCGTCAATGGCGTTAAGGTATTGAATCGTCGCTATGTATGGCTTAAAGCAGGCCAATCTTCCATGTTCTGTTTATCGTTCACTTCAAGCTACTCAAACCACTTCAGCAGGCTTCCGAACCAGCCCTCGTAAGCTGTCCGTCGGACTAGCAGGCCTCTGATTATCATCCATCGCAGTGTCGAGACCGTCCCGCTTGGCATGCACAGTAGCCAAGTCAATCCGATCCTCATGTCCAAATATCTCCCGATCCAAACTCGGCACCGGCGGACGAACATGAAAACGTGCACCATATTCCAGCTTCGCGGACCAGGAATTCCTCGCCACCTCCCTCGAAGCACCAGGTGATCGTCTCGCAGATCCATAACTCCGATTCCGGAAAACTGTGGGAAAGAGACATCGTAGTGTAGGTAAACACGAACAGATAATTCCAATGTTACATTCGAGATTTGACCAGATTGATGCCATGCCGTTGTCGTGTGATACGTCTTGGGAATTCCAGACGACGTAGATGGCGTAGAGGCGAAGGATGGAGATTATGCAGACTACGCCTCCGAGGCCGAAGACGGCTATGAGAGTGCGTTTTTGTCGTTTGGGGATTTCAAGTTTGTTTAGGAGGGGTAGGGGGAGGATTGTGATGGCGATGTCGGTGGCTATGTTGAGACCGGCACTTGCGAATCTGGAGAGAATTTTAGTTGTGGTTAGGGAGGTTTTTTAGGGAGCGGGGAGGGAGAAGCCTAGGGGTTTAATAACAAAACATTTACCCGCCAAAAAAAAAAATTTTTT